GAAATCCTAAGGGAAAGACCCGGCCAGGGCCTGGTGAGGATGGTGTCTGCCCCACAAATGTTCCTGGGTTGTTAGGGATTACGAGAGCATCCATCCTAGGGCCTCTGATAACTCATCCCTAATGCAACAATCTAATTGTCTGGTAACATGAGCTTTACCTCTCTCAGGAAGAGAAGAGCTGTGCAAAGGCCCTGGGGTTGATAGAGCCAAGCATGCTTGGAAGAACAGAGAGGAGGCGGGAGAGGATGATGGAGGTGGGGGGAAGGAGGGGCGTGGTAGGCAGAGAACAGCTAGCTGGCTTCCAGCTCCGGGCAGGGTCCTGTGGCAGTGGGGTTGTCCCCGGAGCGTGGATACCTGGGTTCCATCCTGTCCACTGCAGGAAGGCTGTGGGGTCATGGGCAGACTCCTCTCACTCCTGGATTTGCTTTACCATTGAAAACGAGGTGGCGAATGCTTGAGGCAGAGGTAGACATTGGACCCGTTTCTGCAGATCAGTTCCACTCCTGCCATACACGGTAGAACGAACGATTTCTGGAGGTTCTCAACATCCTCAGCTCTTCAGGCCCCTCCCTCCTGAGATGCTAAAAGGAATCTCCCTGACCGCGGCTTTGCCCCAAACTCTTGTCTGTAACAGCCCCTGAGTCCACTGGCATTCAGGCTTTTACAGTTCTCCCAGGAAGGCAGAAATCCCTCCACATAAAGCTTGCTGTGGCCCAGTGTCTCCCCAGCCGCATGCCCTGCTCCCGTACCTCAGTGCAGCCATGGGGGTGCTCTTCTCCCTGTGGCAGGCAGGGAAACTGAGGCTTGGGTGGGTGTACCCCAGGACCTGCGTTCTCAAGCTCCTGGAGCATGGGTGACTGAAGTCAGGCATGTCATCCTAAGACGTGCAATGTACCTTATTGTCTATCCCAATTCAACTCTCTCGGGAGGGGGACCACACCCACCAAATGGATTTCACCGTGCATTAGGGGTACAAGCCCGCAGATCCACGGCAGGAGGTACTAAGAGTCTGGGGTGCACAGGCCGAGCATCCCTACCTGCTGCTGCTAACCCCATCCTCCCTCAGGACCCGCCCAAACCCCAGCTTCCAACCCCAGTCCCTCCAAACTCACAGGACCAGCAGCCGAAGGACCCAATCTCTCTCCCACATGCCAGTTGACAGCTGGGTGACAGCTCAGGGGTCCCCAGACCTGGAAAAGTGAGTGAGCCCAGAGAAGAGGGAGGTGGGAGGGGAAGCTCACCCCCACCTCCCTGGCAGAGAAGTCATTAGGATGCAGCCGGCGATTGCCTGGGCTGGCTGGGGTGGGCTTTCATTTCCTAAGGCGAGGCTCCCCGCCCCCCCAGGAGATGGCTCACAGATAGGCAGGGATGCTGTGCTCCAGCCGAACTCCTTAACCCTTGCTGGACCTGGAGCCTGGAGGCCGCTGGCTGGCGGGTGAGCCCTGCTGGCGGGCAGGTTGGCAGCATGGGGGGGTCTGTAATCATTGAGTACTTCCTCCCAGGGCATGAGCTGAGTCCTTTCTCAATGTATTTAATGTGTGGAACACCCCAGGAGGCTACTCCTGTGAACATCCCATTTATCCCATTGCGTGCCGAGTCTCAGGGCGTGGCTGGGAGGGGGAGCACCCGGACTTGAACTCAGAGCTCTGAGCTCTCATGGACTTTCTTGCTCACATCTGGCACTCTACCGCTTGAACCACACCTCCAGTCTGGCTTGGCTTGCTAATTAGAAGCTCACAGAGTTTTCCGCCTGGGGCTGGGCTTCGAACCTCGGTCCTTCAGGTCTCAGCCTCCTGAGCTGCAGGGCTGCAGGTGTGAGCACCAGCCAGGGCTGCAGGTGTGAGCACCAGCCAGGGCTGCAGGTGTGAGCGAGCACCACCCCGGGTTTATAGGCTTTCATCGCTGCTGGCACGACCCGCCTGTGGCACCGCCTCAGCCCCGCTGGAGATGGAGCTGCGTGGACTTTCCTGCCCAGGCTGGCCAGGACGGCAGTCCCCCTCATTTCAGTCTTCCATGGAACCGGGAATGACAGGCACATGCCTCTGTGCCCTGCTATGGGTTGAAAAGGAATCTGAAGAACTTTTGTCTGGGCTGGCCCCAAACCAGGATCCTTGCAGTCTCAGCCTCCCACGTAGCTAGGATCATAGGCCTGAGCCAAGTACCGGGCTCCTTTTCTCTCATCTTTCAGGGAATGCATCTGAAGTATCTCTATTGACAATAGTATTTGCTATAGGCTTCTGTTACATAAAATTTGCTAAGAAAGGATATTTCTATTTTTGGTTTGCCGAGGTTTTATCTGATGAATTTTTTTTCACCAATAAGGTATTGGACTTTCCTTCTTTAGTCCGTTAACATAAAAAAAAATAACATTGTTTTTCTGATGTTGAACCAACTTGCATTGCTAGGATAAACCTTACCTGATATATTATTTTAAGAAATACACCATTAGACTCGGCTTATAATTTTCTCCAGTCTTTTATCTGACTTTGAAATCTGCTAGGTTCAGAAAAACACATGTTCATCTACAGTTGGACGGATACATACATTGAGTTACATCTGTACAGCAAAATTCTGTAAACAAGTAAGACCAGATGAGCTGCACCCACACACAAGAATGAGCACAGTGAACATAAAAGGAGCCACACAGAGGGGACGGCTCAGGAATACAGCAGTTGACTGGCACCAGCAAGGCCTGAGCTTTGAGCAGCACTATCATGAGCAACAAGTACAGGGTTGCACTTAAATAAAGCTCAAGACAGACCCAGCTACCTATGGGGAGAGTCAGGTGTGTGCGTGTGCGTGTGTGTGTGTGTGTGTGCATGTGTGTGTGTGTGCGTGTGTGTGCATGTGTGCGTGTGTGTGCGTGTGTGTGTGCATGTGTGTGTGTGCGTGTGTGTGTGTGTGTGACATAATCTTGTAAACATTCATTGACATGCATCTTGCACAGTTTACCTCTCTGTCTTTATGCTACACTTTGACATAGCTTACCCTAAAAAGAACACAGGGCTGAATGCAGCTTGGTGCAAATCCTTGTCTAGTAAACTGGGAAGTATTTGCTATTTTTAGAAGCAACTGGGTTTTGGAGGGCATTGGGGGCCCGTGAATACTATCATTTCTATTTGTTAAAATTTGTAGATTTTTTTCACAGCTCTTTACTTCTTTTTGCATCACTGTTGGCTTTTTTTAAACCTAGGAATGTATCCATTTTAAGTCAGAGAGGAAATTGATATGCAACAGTTCAATACAAAGCGGTGGTTTTAGGGCTGGGATTGCTCGGTAGTAGAATACCTGCTTAGCATATGAGGGGCCTGGGTTCAATCCTCAGAGGGGAAAGTTACACACTGGTTGTGTGCAAGTGCTGGGGACAGAGTCTGGGCCTCTTGCAGCCCAGGCAGACGCTGCTGCACCTGCCAGCACTTCCTCCCCAAGCTGCCGGGTGTGGAGCGGACAGGCGGCTTCTGGGGCCCAGACTCTCCAGTCCCCAGGAGCTCAGGGGCTGCTGCCTCTGTGGTCCAGTGAGAGGGAGGAGCTTCGGGTGGTTAGCTGTCATGGGCTAGGCCTGGAGGTGGCTGGCCTGATTGTCACCCGTGTGCCATCAGCCTGACGAGCTGGACACACAGTTGCAGCTGAAGGTATGGAGAGGATCTCCTGCTTCTCATCAGTGCCTGGCTTGTGGGAGACACTGTTGAGGAGTGACACCTCATGTCCACCTCCTAGGCTTCCATAGAGAAGAGGGCCCCTCTCCTCCCCAGGGAGCAGTGAGGCAGTGCCAGCAGCGGCCATCCCTGGTCTGTGAGCTCAGGGGAGGCGTCCCTGCTTACACGCAGAGCATCTGTGCACCTCTTCCGCATGGTTAGCAGTGTCCGCTTTCCCTTTGCACACCTCTCCCTTCTCCATCCCCCTTCCCAGGAGGCCTGTGTCCCCAGTGCACATGTCTGAAGTCACAGACACTCTTAGCACACACATACACGGAGCACAGCCAGGCACGCAGGCCTGGAGCTAAGCAGCCTCACTCAGACCCGGGCCTGCTCCGCTCTGATCCCCTGTGCCAGGCGCTGCCAGGGCCTGCGGCTTGTCTTGCAGTGTCCCCTTCCTGTGCTCAGAGGTCCCAGTGTGGAGGAGGAGGGGGGAGAGCGGTCAGAGCCCCGAAGTCCCCGAACATCAAGGCCCTGACTGTCAACGCGTGCGTCTTGGAGAACACAGCAGGCTATTTCCTATCCATTTCTAGCACAATTATCTAATTTAAGCAAATCTCTCTGATTGATACAAAGGAAAAAACTAAATCTCAAAAAGAAAAAGTCAGTAGTAAAAGCGCGTGTGACAGAGTGCGCACAACCGTGACAGGTAAAATGCTCCCCAGAGGCTGCCCGGCGGTCAGGGCCTCAACTCTCTTCTGGGACTCTGGAGCCCTCACTCCTAGAAAACATGTCTCAGGAGCCCAGAGGCTCAAGCGTGAGCCGCCGGCTGAGGGCTGGTGTGAGGCTCAGCCCTCTGAGGCTGGACAAGAAGATAGACTGTCCCAGATGGCCTGGCTGTCCCAGGTCCTGGTGCTGCAGGGAGCCTGCCGAGGGGGCGGGCTGGACTGGGGTGCCCAGAGGACCCTGCTGCCGCTTCCCGTGGCTACGCACTCTAGTCCCGTCCGTGCTCCTCTTCTCCAGTTCTGCCTCGTCTTTGCCACCCCCCCCCAGCCTTCTCTCTCCATCCCTCACCTTGACTCTGCTACTAATGTGTCTCCACCTCTCCTCTCCGTCTCCCTCATCCTCCCTCCCACCTAGGCCAGAACACAGTGGGTCTGGGCCTCTTTCCATGGCACCTTTGCTTCTTGGGCATGAGAGTCTCAGGCTCTCTACCTACCTAACGGGAGAACACCACGTCCTCCAGGACTCAGCTGGGAACTAGGCCCTTGGGGCCTCTGTTCTTCTAAGAGTCTACCCACCCGGGCCTCACCCAGACCTGGAGGTACGAGAGTTTATTAGAGGAGGTGGGGCTGGGCCAGGCCGTCACTTCTTCGAGCCCTGCTTCTTGAAGGTGCTAGTCTTCTTACTGCCCCTCCGCTGCTTGCTGGCAGGTTGCACCTCTATTTCAGGGGGTTTCAACCTACACAGGAAAATGGGAAGGGGCTGTGGTGGAGAGGGGCTGGGAGCCCTGGCCTGGCTGTGTGTGGGGGTGGGGGTGGCCTTCCCTGGCACTGGTGAGGCTGGGCCTTGGGCTGCTCCAAACTGGAAGGCACCGTTTGTGCATCCATGACTTTTTTATTTCTCTTGGTCGTGGGGCTTGAACTCGGCCTGGGCGCTGTCCCTCAGCTCTTCAGCTCAAAGCTAGCGCTCTACCACTTGGGCCACAGCGCCACTTCCCATTTTTAGAGTGATTCATTGGAGATAAGAGTCTCACGGCCTCTCCTGCCCAGGCTGGCTTTGAACTGCGATCCTCAGATCTCAGCCTCCTGAGTAGCTAGGATGACAGGCGCGAGCCACTGACACCCGACTGGTGTCCGTGCCGTTCTACCTGCCTCTCTATCTTCCCGGCAACGCGATTCTGCAGAACCTGATTCTGTCCTCCCCCTCTCCCACATCCTGGTATGACTCCTGCAGGAGACAGGGCTTATGCTAGGAGGGCGCTCGGGTCTCCACCGTTCCCAACGGCTGTGTCCTTCCACCCGGAACTGCCGGCAGCTCTAGGTGCAGTCCTGACGTCCAAGGACGCAAGCTGATAAAGCAGGCCCCTGTCAGAGGCTGAGCTGCACTGGGTGACAGACGTGGCCTATACGAGGTGGTCAGGGTGGATGCTTACTTGTCAGCCGGGGTTTCCTCCACCTTCTCGCCCAGGGCTGAGGAGAAGCTTCCTTCCAGGTCTTCGGACATGGCTCTCTTGGCTAAGTCAGAGCTCTCCAGAATGGAGAGGGAGGTGGTGACGCTGAGGAGGGGGCGGGATGGGAGGGCAGCGCTTAGAGGGTCCGAGGCCGCGCAGCCTGGGCTCCTCGCTGCCCCTTTCAGGATCCAGCTCTTCCAGTGACCGGTACCAGTGCTTCTCCTCCTGAGGCTTGTGCGGGAGAAGCTGACCGCCCTGGGGACCCCAGGGAGGGGGAATGCAGACATCACTTCCCCAGCTTCTGTGAAGGTGGGGGTACACCACACAGTTGGCACTGGGCACAGGCAACGCCCACAGGGGCAGGGTCCCATAATGAGCCAGAAAGCAGACAAGGTGGAAGAATGGCATCATGCAAAGTGGGCCAGAGTTCCTAGCCCCAAGACCCTAAAATGTGACCGTATTGCAAAGGCACTGCAGGCCCAGTTAGCTGAGACAGGCTGGAACAGGGCGGGCCCCCACTCACTGGTGTCAGCCTCTCAATCAGCCTCTCAAGCACCCAGGGAACCACCATCAGCGGAGGTGGCCTCAGTGTGACCGCAGGGGGAGGGGCCCAGCCTGCACCTGGGCCTCAGATCTCCAGCCTCCACAACCCACAGATAGGAGGAGACCTTGTTCTCCAACTCCCTGTACGAGCTGCCCAGTTCCAGGAGGTTTTGAGCAGCACAGCAGCTGCAGGGACAGGCCACTCGGGGACAAAGGCGCCGGCAGCCCAGTGCAGTGCAGCAGGGAGGGCCTTGCTCAACAGAGACAGGGCTGGCATTTCACTTGCCGCCCGGCTGCGTGGCCATGCCCACGAAACACCTACAGCACCTGGCCTGATGAAGCTCAGCCTATTGGGAGGCGTGTGCCGACCGCCGGGGAGATGGGCACAACACAGGGTCGGGGGCTTGCGTCTACGTCAAAGATGGGATGGCTGGGCACAGTGGACCGGGGCAGGTAGGGCTCACTCTTCACTCTCCTATTTCTAAAAAGGAACCATGGGCCAGCGTGGGGCGTCACACCTGTACCGGCTGGGAAAGCAGAGATGACCAAGCCTAAGACTCCAGCACAGCCTGGAGAGGGGGAGGGGCCCTCGAGACCTCATCTCAACAGAAAGCTGGATGTGATGGCTCTCACGCTATGCTAGAGGCTATATAGAGGATAGTGGTCCGAAGTTTTCATGCAGGAGACCCTGCCTGAAAAATAACGAGAGCAAAAGCAACAGAGATGTACTCAAGTGGTAGAGTGCCTGCCTGGCAAGTGTGAGGCCCGAGCGCTGCAGAGAGGTGCGTGTGGGGAAACAAATGAGATTAAGAAGTGACTGGTCAAGTCCGGGCCGCTGCGCGCATCTTAGGAATCTGAGGAAAGGGAGGGATACCAAATGGCTTCCATTTGCCCTGCTTGCGCCCCACAAATCAGTGCCACCCACAGACAGGGCCCCGCGGAGGCCCTGTGAGGAGGGAGGCCCTGTGAGGAGGCGAGGCCCGGGAAGGCTGCTGTCCAGCCCTGGAGGACAGCCAGAGGGCGGGTGCGGTGAGGGGAGCAGGCTAGGCGGGGCTCTGGGCAGGGAAGCCGGCATCAGGTGGCGCACAGTGGCGTGTGCAATCCTGACGTGTGTGTGTGCGCGCGCGCGCACACACGCCATCCCTGCCGCCCTTTCACAGAGCTCTCGAGCACACACCCTGGGGACCCTGGCAGCCCTGTCTAGGGTTAATGAGGCCCTGAGGGTCGGGAGGCTGGCCAAAGGAGTCCGATGCCATCTAGCAGAAACAGAGCGGAGCAGGGTCTCCGACCCTCCTCTTGGGACCCCTGACCCATCAAGTTCTCCAAGGCACCACACTGCTGAGCCTTCTGGAACCTACTACTCCCCCTCTAAGGCAGCCTTGGGGAATGTATGAGGACTGGGCTCCTCCTGGGCTCTAGGCTGCCTGGGATTTGGGGGCAAGAGACTTCCCCAGTCCTTTCTCTTACCCTGGAGCTGAGCCGGGTAAGGGGCCAGGCAGGTGATGTTGCCTGGCTGAAGGGGTACAGCGAGGCCTGCCCACCAAACCTGTCTTCGTGATTTCCTGACGTCACTCTTTTCTCTAAGACAGGCCTTTTCCCAAACTTGTGTCCTCAGCTACCTTGGGCACGTGGGCCCAAGGTAGAGGCTGCGCGTCCCTTCTCTGCTCACCCCCATCTGTTCCGCACCCCAGTTCCCCCCACAGCCACCGGCCTCCGTTCCTTCTCCTCCCTTCCCACTCATCCTCCACACCTCCCAGGTACCTGAACTTGTAGTCGTCTGGCAGGAAGTAGCCCATCTTGCAGTCCTGTTGAGCCCGCAGGATCTGTTTCAGCAGATTCTGCTTGCTGAAGCCGTATCCATTCAGAACACAGCCCCCGAACAGGAGCTTCCCCGTGGCGAACATCTGCGGCCAGACAGGAAGGAAGGGTAAGAGCCGTGCAGGGCTCGGCAGAGCAGCAGGGCTGACGAGAGGATCGGGTTCAGGCTTCGCGCCTTGCAGGGCTGGGCTGGGCTGTGGGCCTTTGGTGACGGGCCTCCTCCAGCTTCTCAGACCCCTGCTCAGGTGTCGCTGCACACATACGCCCCCTCCCCAGGCCCCTCCTCCCCCCAGACCTGGGGCTGACAGAAGTGTCCTCCCTAATCTCAGGATACCCCCTGCCCCCAACCCCTGCCCCGGGCTGTCTGCAGCCTGCCTCTCCGGATGGTAGATAACCCTGAGGCAGGGCTCTCTTTCTACCAGTCTGTGCCACTCAGACATCAAGAGGGGCTGGGATGGCCAGACACCAATGCTAGATGATCGCGGCCCTAGCAGGTGCCCACAACAGCAAAACTCACTGGTGAACAGTGAGACACTCTGGTGGTGAGAGGGGGCCGTTATTTTCTAATTCATGCGTCTCCAATAGTCAGTAAGTTCCGTGTAAGTGGGGAACAGTGGTTATGTGTCAAGTAACTTAAAGACGACAGACAAAGGCAATTTAATTCCCTGGACTCAGTACCAGCAGATCCCTCCATCTCTCAGGACCTTGCCATGCCGGGTCCCGGGTCCCCTGTTGTGTTGCTCCCAGAGCCGCAGGCTGAGTGGGGAGAATCTGCGCCCCCCCCCCCCAGGATTCCTGGGGGCCTCCCGCAGCTCCGCCCTCTCCGGACCCAGCTCACCAGAACCATCCCCTGCACCACGGCATACTTCTTCACCAGCAGGGACTGCTCCTTGTGCAGGGGGTTGTCCAGGTCGTACCGCAGCAGACGGTAGGGGTCGTGCCGGCACTGGGAGAGAGTAATGAGGGAGCTGGTGGCCCCCGAGGGTCACACCCAGTGCCAGGACCCACACCAAAAGTAGACTTCCCTTCTTCCTGAGAGCTACAGACCCACCATACAGCCAGTGAGCTGTCTTTCAGTGAGCTCTTTCTGGCTCTACCTGTCTTTTAATTCTAGATGTTACAGCCTGCAGTTTAAAATGTGAAACCCAGAACCACACAGGAAATGCAGCGATCAGTGAAGAAGAGCATTAGGAGATGGTTCTGCTTAAGCAATGGTGGAAAGCAGGTCTCTGTGAAATCCATTTCGATCTTCAGGTCCCACCCACAGTCACATGGTGAGGACCGGCTTGGGGCACCTGAGCATGCCTGCTGACTGACAATGACCAGCATCCAGAGGAGCCAAGCCAGCTCTAAGCTGAGGGCAGGCACCATGTCTGTCTGTCTGTGGATGGGCAAAGTAGGTTCGCAACAAGCATTCACTGAGGGAAACTACATCGGAAGTCGGTGGCAGTGTTCTGCTCTCCTGCAGAAAGGCAGTCAAAGGGCTCCTGGTGTCTGGCAGAAGGGCTCTGGTGCTGAGCTCCGGGCATCAGCTGGAGCGCAGGCCAGAGGGTGGGCAGGGGTCCTGGGGGACAGGATCCATGAAGACCCTCCCCGGGGCACACATGCAGACTCACAACTCTGTACCAGCAGAGGAGACATGACTCAAAGACAATGGCTCCAGTAGGCAGGAAGGGAAGGCCAGCGTGGGACACATCACGTGTGAACTCCCAGTTCCCATGACCACATGGCCTCCACCTTAGTCGGCCTTCCACATGTGCAAATACTGTGGGGAAAGATGAGGAGTCCCAGAATGCACTGGGGGGAAGGCAGTGAGGGCCTGGACCCTGAGGACCTTGGGGGAGATACTGTCCCTGTCTACATATCCACACCGGTGATAGTCACACACCGTGGCAAGCGCTCTGGAGGAAAAAAAAGACCACAGTGCCTTGGCTTTGACTCGAGGGTCCCAGGAAGCACCTGGCCTGCTGTGACACCGTGCAGGAGGATGAGGGGCAGAGAGATGAAACTTGGCTGACAGAAGGGAGTGCGCGCGCCAAGGCCCAGGGGAGGAAAGGAGCCGAGCGAGGCTGGCGTCTCGGTGGATGGGCGGCCCTGCTCGCCCGGGCCCTCCCTCCAGCCCGTCGGAACTCTCACTGGGCACAGGACCCACCTGGATGCAGGGGGAGGCACGGCCCTGCTGCTGATGGCTGTACAGTGTGTCCAGCAGCCACTGGAGCTGGGCGGAGCTGGTGGGGTTCTGGCTGGAGAGGATCCCAAACACCAGCACTTGGCTGGGGTTTCGGGGTGCGGACAGGAAGCGCTCCAGCTCCAGGTCGGACACCAGCGGTGCCTTCACCATACACTTGCAGCCGGCGCGGATGTCCTCCTTGCATATGAGCTTCCGCAGCACCAGCGGGCAGTCGTAGGGCGAGGCCGCCCACCACATGGGGCTGGGCAGCTTCCTGGCCTTGTCCCTAAGGAAGAGCACAGCCGAGGTTGCAAGCTCCCGGCCCCCTGCTCCGGGGACAGATGCACAGTGCCGTGTGCGGCTCAGCCGGGGAGGGGTCCCTCACCTCCCTGAGCCTCAGGGCAGCTGACGCTTCGTTCTCAGTCCTTTCTCCATTCCACAGTTGCTTCCACGCTCTCCGCAAGCCTGTCCTCCACATTGGACAGATCCAGAACCGGCCCTGCCTCCTTTGCCACCAACACTGTCCGAGCCCCCTGGGGTTCACTGTACACTTCCTCGTGGATCCTGCACATCCTTCCCTGGCCTCCCCTCCACGCGTGACCCATTGAGGAAGCCAGCCGGAGCACCAGTCACATTAGGTCACTACTGTCTTGAAAACCATATCAAGAGGCCAGGTTGGGAACCATGTTTGGAAAAGACCTAAGAATAACCTCATCCCTCACCTCTGACTGACCTATGGACAGAAGGCTAATACATAGTTGTATTGGCCGAAAGCATTGCTGGAGTCCCCAACAGAGAGCCATCCTCACACTGAGTTTTCTGGCTTGGAAACTTGTCAAATCACTCTAGCTAAAGCTAGGTGCAATGTCTTATGCCTGTAATCCTAGCTACTCAGGAGGCAGACTTCTGGAGAATTATGGTTCAAAGCCAGTCCAGGCAAAAAGTCATTTGCCTGTGTAAACGTGGGACAGTCTATGTCCTCAGTGGGAGCCTTCTGATGGGAATGCTTAAACCCTGCCTATTCCACAGTGTTGTTACAGACTTAACCAGGGCACCGTACACTCCAATTGCTGTGGGTGCTGCAATGTACTAAGCATTATGCAAGGATGTACTAATGAGAAAAAATAAAACCATGGCATGTGCTTTATTCCCCTCTAGGCCCAACCAGTGTAGTGTTTGGTACATAGCAGGTGCTTACATGCTTATTAAATCCCAAGGGAACATTTACAATTTGCCAAGTGCTCCTATTTCACTCCACTCAGTAAAACACTCCAAATATACAATTTCCCAGTACTTGTGTTCTAGTGAGTTACATAAAGGCACTGATAACAATAAAGTATGCAAGACACACAGCGAGCAGTGCTAGGGAGCAAAAGGCAAAGGTGTGTGTGTGTGTGTGTGTGTGCGTGTGTGTGCACGTGTGCGTGCGTGTGTGTGCGCGCGTGTGTTTGTGTGTGCGTGTGTGTGCGTGTGCGTGTGTGTGTGTGTGCGTGTGTGTGTGTGTAGCAAGCATGAGACTCTGTGTTCAAACCCAGGACCACCAAAAAGCAAAATAAAATTAAAAAGAACTAGTAATACATGCAAAAATGTATGGATGCACTTTCCTGTCCTGAGTGAAAGAAGTTAGATTTAAATGCTGTACATAATACCTTTCACTTACATGACATCTTGTGGAATGTAAAACTATAGCTTCAGAGAATACACCAGCAGCTATTAGAGAATGAAAGTGAAGGGCCTGGCACCCAGGTAATGTAAGAGAATAGCCTTTTCCCCTTGGAGGGGAGGGGTTGATAAAACTGTTACGCCACTGCAGGGCTGCTGGTTATACAACTCTATGCACTTGTTAAAACTTGACTACAAATCAAAAATAAATGTAAATGGAAGGTAGAACCAATTGCTTTCCTATGTATCAGCCACAAATAGAGAAATCATGTTAAACATATCATCTATGATACCACCAAAAATATTAAATGCTATAGCGGAAACCTAGTGAGAAGACATACAAACAGAGAAAGACTGGCTATCCCATGCTCATGGACTGAGCCATCCCAGTGTCACTGGGACATACAAACAGAGAAAGACTGGCTATCCCATGCTCATGGACTGAGCCATCCCAGTGTCACTGGGACATTCACAATCCCATGGGAATCCCGGGACATTTTTTTTTTAAAATATTGAAGGCTTATTCTAAAATGATACAGAAACTTAAAGGGCTGAGGCCAGGGAAACAATTCTACATTCTGTATTTGAGTACTTATTCTGTTATGTACCAATGACTCCAGCAAGGCTGGCGGTGGCCGGCAACCAACCCCCTGCCACGACACGTTGCTCTGGCATTTTTTCATCCTACCCCTGGGATCACTATCTAAAATTACTTCTCTAGTCTGTGTAAAACTCATCTCTTTCCCGTGCCTAGAACTTGAGCTCTAAAAGGGGGTCTCACTACCCCTGTGCTATCTGCCTGTTGCCTGTCCCGTCTTTTCAACTTAGCATAGCACGGGAACTATGGAAGAAATAAATAAAGGATTAAGCCAACCTGTGTGTGGCTGTGCTCTTGGCCTGCCTTTTGACGATCTTCTTCCGGGCAGTGGTGGTAGAGGTAGAAGGCGCTGGAGGCTCTTCCTTTGGAGAGTCCTCGACTCCGGACTCTTGGCGGGCTGACTGGGATCGGAAGGGGATTTCTCCATTTATACTTAGCTTGGAAGCTCGCTCAGAATACGTTCCAGATCTCATCCTGGCCCAACTCAGGTCGATATCTTCCTTTGGGGTTGGGTATGTGATGGTGAATAGACCTGTTAACAGAGATGTGTCACTTTCCTCCACAGCTGGGCTACGTCTGTACCAACTCATGGGCCCCCATCGGACCATCGGAGCCCACTCCCGCTCTTCCCACTGATCCTTCTTGCCTGGCCTCCATCTGCACCAAGCCCCCTGCCCCAGCTTCATACAGTCAGAGATCAGAAAGTGCTGGCTAAATGGAAGAATGAAAAAAAATCTCATTTTTATACTTTCTCCAAGACCCAGCTTCAACCTTCCTTTCCCAGTGGGGACTACATTTCGCTCAGCTTTGTGTTCTCCACAGCACCCAACTGCAAAGCTAGGCCCATGAGGCCCTGCCGGCTTGCGTGTTTCCCTTCCTATGAAAGTGCAGTTCCCCACGACTTCCGGGTGAAGTCCAGGTCCTCTGCTTTCTTTGTGGGGTTGTGTTTCTTTATGGAGACGTTTCTGAGGCCAGGGATCTCTCATTCCTTCATTCCCTTAGCAAGCAGTGTGAGTGCAGGTGCTAGGCGTACGCAGATGGACTGAGCCAGGCCTCCCTGCGTCTGAGAACCACTAGCGGGGAGCAGGCAGGATGGGAGGACAGACTCCCCGTGCTAGGTGGTTAGATCAGTACAGGGAGCAGAGGGAGCCTGGAGTAGGGTGCGACTCAACTGCTAGGGAAGTCACAGAATGTGCCTAGGAAGGATGGTTGAGCCACATGTCTAGAGACAAGGATAAATGCCCAGGCCTGGTGCCGTCCCTGGGGGGAGTGATGGGGACTATAGCGGCGTGAGGTACAGGGCTAGCGCGTGTGTGGCATGCAGCACACACTGCATGGGGAGGGGAACACGGAGCACAGGCTCTGGTAGGCAGAGGAATATGAAGAGCAAGCTCCTGGGGGCAGAGGGGCATGGAGCACCTGGGGGAAGGGGACATGGAGCGCAGCTCCTTGGAGGGCTGCAGCCTGGACTGAGGTGCAGGAGTACTGGGTTAGGAGTCCCTTGGTCGGTGCACACGTGTGGAAGGGTCCTAAGGCCACCCACGCTCCGTGCTTACAGGGACAGCCTAGGGAGGTACCCGCAATTTTCCTTCTGAGATCTTCCCTACGGGAGAGAGAGCTGTGGACGAGGGAGGTGGCTGTCCAGAGATGAAGCAAAGGGTCAGGACGAATACAAAAAGACAACGAGGCTACGCAGAGACATGAAGGCGTAGGGGGAGAACGTGGAGACTGGAGTCAGCCGTTCACCATTCCCAATGCAGGGCCTTGGCCCAGAGGCCCCATCTAGTGTGGGGGGAGCCTGCCACTTCCTCCTGCAAGCCCAGAGGGGTGGGTGGTGACAAGGCTAGACTTGATGCAGGCTACCCAGGACTCAGGAAGACCTGGAACAGGTCTCCATCCCTGCCCACCCCTTACCTGCTACCACCAGGACAGCGTTCATGAACTGAGTCATTGTCTTCTGAAACCGCTTTTTTATATCAGCAAGAGCTCGGTTCATCTTCAGTATTTTCTCATCCATGACAGTGATTCTGCGGGTCATCTGGAGGGAAAGTTGGGGGCAGAGGTCATCGGCCCTTGGAGAACCCATTTGCCTTCTCATCAGGACCCGCTCTGGCTTGAGGGATGCTGCCCCCTCTCTGTCCCTCTCCACGCGGTGACTTGCTAGAGACGGGCCCAGACCTGGCTCCAATGTCTTCAGAATGGAAAGTTTCCTGAGCTGTTGGATAGCACTGTCCCTTGCTTTGATTCCTGACGTGTCTCTATGCAGATGTGCAAGACAGAAATGGGCACTTTACCAAGTAACTACGTGCGCTTCAATCTGTCCTGACACTGCAACTCCCAGAAGGCAGGGACTGAGCGCAGGGGTCTCCTTGGTGGTCGTGCAGATGCTTTGCATTCACGAGTAACAGGATGGACAAAAGCCCATCCAGAGTGTTTGAGGCCCATTTCCTTCTGTTGTGAAGGCCAGACTACAGCCCCCCAGAACTCCTTTCACCCCAGAGTACTGGTTGCTGACAGATCACAGCTGAGAAATGGCCGTTGGACAAGGCTAGTGCATCAAGGTTCACAAAGGCCAGGGCCTCTCCCCTGGAACCTGGACTCCCCAATCTGATTCTAGGCTCCCTGTGGGACAGGGGAGGCTTCTGCTTTGGAAGCCTTGCCATTCAGCCTCTCCCTCCACCCAGATCCACAAAGAGCCATTCCCAGCTGCCCCCAGGTAAATCTCTGCACACCTATCTCTATCACAGACCCTGGTTCCTGGGCAACCTGGGCTAATGTCTGCTCTCAACAACCAGGGCATCTCAGAGACTCTACAAAAACAGGCTCGGATTCCTTAAGAGTTGGATCTGACCTTTTCCTCCAGGAAGCTTTCCCTACTTTCCCCAGCCAAAGGCGCCTGGCTCTCCGCTGAGCATCCACCCCTGTCTGTCTGCCCAGGGTCAACTTCATGGTTACTTTCTTTATCCCTAAATTTGGTCAGCTCCCTCAGGATGGATCTATGCTGTCTAGCTCTCTCACCTAACACAATGGAAATGCTCCAGAAACATCTTACGTGTAATGAAAGCGTGGGGTGGACAGAGGAAGGGAAGCAGTGGACAGCTTTCTGGGAAAGGGAAGTTGGCTCCCCTGTTCTTTCCTCTGAAGGTAAGAATTCTATAAAGGATGCCCCAATTAATAGCAAAGCCTCAACCATTCTTCAGCAAGTGTTGGTACTAGCTGCTGCTTCTGGCTAATTTTATTTTATTTTATTTTCGTAATTTATACCCAGCCTGCTTCCAAAAAGGATCTGAGGCAGCACTCTGGGCTAATAAAGCATTTAGATCGGAGCATTGCCTTGCTTCCAAAGTGTTGCCATGATTGAGGCCTCGGGGCTGTAAAAGCTGGGACTGCCATTCTGCCTGTCACCATGATGGGTGGCTCTTTCTGGGATGATGGGCATCTGGGGAAAAACCATTTAACCAGCTTCCCGATGACAGAGGCTACAAGGCAGAACGCCACCCTGCCCCCAGCCCCAGCCTTCCTAGGTAGCCACACGTTTTTTGCAGAACCAAGCCCCAGATAAACTCACATAGGGTAGAGCTGAATAAATTCTGAATGCCTAGAATGGGAGCCTGCTAAGCTTGGACAGACTGCACTCACTGCCATAGAGATGACACACAGAAGCTTACCCAGGGAAGGGCCTGGCACAAGGCCCTAAGATCCCTTCCTAGCATAGATCTAGCTAGCCCTAACACGCAGCGGATTGTATTGTTCCTGTAGCTCTCCCAGACAAAGAATCTAAGATGGGCCAACTGTCTGAGCGTCGGGAGTTCGTGTCAAAATATCCTGAGATACTTAGCCAGGTAGCTACTGCAACATTTGGAAATCCTGCTGCTCACAGGAAATCATGGTATTTCTGTTGTGACGTACACTGTCATATACACTGTGCATTCTCAAATAGATGAGGTTGTCCCCTCAGCACTTGACTGGCAAGCAGTCTCCTCCACTCTGCATCCACTCCTGTCATCTGTATCTGTTTAACTGTGCTGCATGCCCCAAGACAGATGTGCCCTCTGAGCCACTGTGTTGTTTGCAATAGCGTTACAGCCCTGCTCCGTCCAGCCACCCTTTGTGAGGGTCCCCTTCTGAAAACTGCCCTCTCTCCAGCCTGGTCCAGCTGGTGAGCAGTGACATTTAAAACTCGTAGATGGGCAATTGATCCTAACAAGGTATTATTTTTCTCACTAAATAAAGTGTATGATCACTCAGAAGCCTAAGATCCGAGGATTGAAATTCAAAGGTGGCCTGGGCAGTGAAGTCTGTGAGATTCTTCTTTCTCATTAGCCATCAAAAAAGGAATCATAGGTATTTTCTGTGCTTTCTTGAGATAACCTCCATCTCCAGCCAGAGCCCGTGTGCACTGTGTCCCTGTGTGCCTTGAGGGAGGATGGCTGGCTGTCCCTTGCTCTGTCAGCTTTGAGAGTTCATGAGCTTGCTGTATACAGTGACAAATGTCCCCATAGCTTATGAGCCCTCAGAACTGGGGCTTGACCTCAGGGCCTGGGCACTGTCTCATAGCTTTTTCGCTCAAGACTTATGTGCTACCACTTGAGCCACACCTCCATTTTTGGCTTTTTTTGGCTTTTGTTTTTGCTAGTTAGTTAGAGATAAGTCCCATGGACTTTCTTGCCCCAGCTGGCTTTGAACATGGATCCTCAGATCTCAGCCTTCTGAGTAGCCAGATTATAGGCGTGAGCCACTGGCACCCAATTCAAGGCAGTTTTGAGATGTAAACAGTTTTATTTATTATTCCTCCAGGTAGACAGGTGTGAACTGGGACTGGCTCTGGGGAAACTGGGAAACAGGAGACTGTGCCTGCTCCTGCTACTAGAAGCCAATCCAAAGTATCACTTAGTAGCCCTGCCCATCAAAAGGAGTCCTTGGTGACTGCAGTCTTATTGCCTCTTGGATTCAAGGTTCAGAGATAATATTTTCTTCACGCTTTCCATCTCTCTCCAAGATGTTGAATGGAAGACCTGGACTTTAACATTTACCCAACAAACACCAGGAAAGAAATTAGCCTTTCTGTCAGGTTCTGCATCCTTCGATTTAAGCAATCATGAATCCAATATTTTCAGTAATAATTTACTGCATCTACACTGAGTTTGTACAGATTTTTTTCGCATTGTTCCCTGAATAATGTAGTACAGCAATTATTTACATTGCATTGTAGTAGGTACTATAAGCAATGCAGAGGATGATTTAAAGTCCACAAGAGAGTATGTGCAGGTTATATGCAAACACTACATCATTTTATAGAAGGGACTTGAACATCTTTCAGATTTTGCTATCTGTGGGAGCTGCTAGAACAGAATCCCTCACGGACAGTAAGGCCTAATCATATGTAATCTGAAGCAGCTCTTCAGTAAGCAGTAGAAGAAATCCTATAGATTCCCAGTTCGGCAGAGGAGACTGTTAAAGGAAGGAGTGCTGGAAGGAAGCCAGTCACGGCAGGGAAAGAGTCAGAGAGACACCTGGGGAGGGAAAGGCATGGTGGAGAGCAATTACTCTGGCCAGCACCATTTCTCCTCCTCTTGGGTGGGTGCCCTCATCACTTCAGGAGCTGGCTCATTTGGGGCTGATCTCATGCCGGGGCCCCAGGATGAGTGGGAAATTCAAGTCTAGCTGCAGCAACATATACCTGTTCATGGAATGTGTCGGCCACACGCAGCTGGAGAGCCCATCAGAGTGCTGATGTGGGCACTTTTTCTTCTTTGTATTGTTTTCTTTTTTTTTCCCCCCTCTCTAGTGCTGGGATGACCCCAGAACTTGTGCAAGCCAGGCACAATGCTACACTTCTTCTGTAGTACTGGGGGGACACTGGAGCTGGGAAAAAGGAGCCCAGAGATACTCCTGGCCTTCCTGTTACCATCATGAAGGGAAGTGAGAATAAATCTGAGAAAGCAGAATGCTTTCATCCAGTGCGGCCACATGCAGGCCTGGATCTTGTTATCTGAAGCTGCACATCAACAGCTTCTTGGTTTACTCTACCAACCTATTCTCTTTGTGCTTAAGCCAGTCCAGTCCACACTGGGTTCTACTGCATACCACTGACCGAATTAACAACAGGGACAAGGCGGCGGCAGAGAAGGGGGTAGGGCCTTGCCTGTGGGGGAGGGAGCAAGGGCTGACATAGAAAGAGGCTGCCCGGGAATCTTAGGGGATCTTACCCGTTTATCGTGGGTGGTGCTGTGGGGACAGTTTTTGGCCGATAGAGTGAGTGTCACCGTCTCATTCATGCAGGTGAAGGTAACCATGATGGAGTCCTGTCCCAGAACTGTGAGCTTCATTTGCTCGTTCATCTACGGAAGAAGCAGCAGCACTCAGAGAACCCCTACCCAACCCCTCGCACTGGGGGGCTGAACATCTGTGAGCTTTCTCAGGTTCTGATGCTGGAACTCCACTTGCAGGGAGAAAGCAGAAGAGTTCCAGTCTGCTTTGGTCTTCTGTTCCCTTCCTGTTCCAGCTGTTGGCCTGGAAGCTAGCACCCCATTTTCTCACCACCAAGTCTCTTTCTTGCATTCTGCCACCCAGGCACTGTGCCTCCCCCAGCACCCCAAAGACAGAGAACCACAAACTTGCCAAGTCTTCTGATATCTCCATACTTGACTCAAGAGAAAATCAACCCACTCTGCTCTCCTTCTAGAGACATGGGGAAGAGACGCAGTCGCAAGCTCAAGCTTTGCAACAGGACAGGCTTCAAGTCCCAGTGCTGCCATTTGCCAATTGGTAGATTACAGGAAAACCTATTAGCTCATTGAGCATGCAGGTGAGAACAAAGCCCTCTCTAAGAGTACTGTGCATACTCCATGGACTAGACACCATGAACACCAGGGCTTAGCTGTTCTTTATGATCTGCTTCCTGGTGCTGATTCTTCCTTTTCCCCGGGGAAAAAGGCAGGTGCTCTATGAACTCAGTTATGGTTCCTCTCCATTTGTCTATTCATTGGCTTCTCCATGTCTGTTAAGCTGCCATACTGAGGCTGGGCTGAACTTCCAGCCCTCAGCCCCAAACCTAACCCTCTGCTTTCACTTCCATATAGCTGAGCCAGCTCCTAACCAGCTCACCCTCTCACAGATAATAACAAGCTTGAAACATACAAAAATAAAACCAACTATCCAAAGGCTGTGAAGAGGGAACAAAACCAGGAAGATTTTGAAAAGAAGCTAACACTTCTGAGAGGACCAGCCTGGGTTAGTGTGCTTCATGCTTCTAGCTGGCAGGCAGGCCATAGCACCAGCCCAAACTCCACCAACTACACCTGGACAAATCAAAACTGAGATGTGAGCTGCCATCCAACTATAGATGAGACAAAAAAAGTATATGGCCTCCAAGTACAACCAAGTTCTCTGCCCATTACAACATGAGCATCAAATCTCTGGAAGGAAGACAACAGAACTTGCGCATGACATCTACAATGCCAACCTCCAGCCCATAATGACTCATGGGGAGGAACCAGTGGCATTTCTAGACTAGGACTTTAAGGCAGCTAATTCAATTAGATTCAGTGAAGTGAAAATACACTTGTGATGAATTGCAAAATCTTGCCAGAAAGATATAAAGTATAAAAATAAGAACAAGAAAGTCTAGATATGAAAGCATGCAATTTAAAAAGTGGCTCAAACTGTAATCCTACCTACTTGAGAGGCAGAGATCGGGGGATTGTGGTCTGAGCCAACACCCCCCCCCCGCCCCCCCCACCCCCGCTTAAAAAAAAAAGTTCACAAAACTCCATCTTGACCAACAGCTGGCCAGGGTGGTGTGTACCTGTCACCCCAGTCTCAGGAGCAGCACAACGGCTGGATTCAGGGGCATATCCCAGTGACTGGGAAGCACACACAGGACCAGTCCAGGCTGGCCTGGACATAAAGTGAGCCCCTATCTTGAAAACAGCTAATGCAAAAAAGGACTGGCAGAATGACTCAAGTTGTAATTTTGCCTAGCAAGTGTGAGGCTCTAAGTTCAATCTCCAAGGCTGATAAAAAAGCTTACAAGAATGAAGATGACAGGAGAAAAGTACATGAACTTGAAGACAGAGCTAGGCAAATTGTCCAAGTATCCAATCTGAATAATAAAGAGAAAGTAATTTGAACCACACAACCACAACACAAAATAACAAATCTAAAAGGACCTTTAAAATAAGGTCCTGAGTAAAGGTCTGAAATAAATATAATTGGAGTCACAGAACAGGAGAGAGAATTACTTTTTTTCTAAAGATGATGGTCTTCATAATTTGGTGAAATAAAAGTACATAAATATGCAGATTCAAAAAGTTCAGTAAGCCAGGCACTGGTGGCTCACACCTGTAATCCTAGCCACTCAAGAGGCTGAGAACTGTGGTTTAAAACACAGCCCAGGCAGTAAAGTCTGTGAGACTCATCTCCACTAAACTACAAAAAACAAACAAACAAAAAAGCCAGAAGTGGAACTATGGGTCAAATGGTAGAGCATTAGCCTTGAGCACAAAAGTGCCTAAACCCAGAGTTCAAGCCCCATGACCAGGAAAATTAAAAAAAAAAAATGAAATTCAGCTCAGCAAGTAGTACATGTCTGTAATCTCAGCCCTCAGGAAGCTGAAGAGAGGGGGAATCATGAGTTTGAAACTAGCCTGAGCAACATGAGAGCCTTTATCAAAAATTAAAAAAAAACACCAGTAAACCCCAAATAAAATAAAAGTGGAAAGGTTAGGGACAGCATCCAGGCCCTGGGTTCAAGCCCCATGACTGACAAAAACAAAAACAAAAAAGTAGCATTTGTTGCCAGAAGATCTGAATTTCAAGAAATGAAGGAGCTGGGCCAATGATGACTCATGCTGTGTATTCCTAGCTACTCGAGGGACTGAGATCAGGAGGGTCCTGGTTCAAGGCCTTCCCAGGCAAGAAGTTCTCAGGACTCTCCCAACCGCCATCCTCACCCATAACTGGGCACAGTGGTGTATACCTGTCACTTCAGCTCCAGGATCATGGTGGTAGGCCAGACCAGATGGAAATGTTCACAAGACTCATCTCAACAAAGCTTGGCATGGTGGCACACAACTGTTATCATCCTCGCCACTTCAGGAAGTATAAACAGAAAGACTGTGGTCCATGCCAGACCAGACCATACCTACTGCACAGACCTTCTGTCGTGCAGCTCTAAGGAATATAACAGTGCCCTGGAATGCATTGCTAAATAGCCAGACATAGTAGCACATGCCTCAGCCTGTGCTTACCTCAGCACTTGGGAGGCAGAGGTAGGAGGATTCTGAGTCTGAGGCCAGCCTGCACTACCTTGTAAGTCTCTGTTTCAAAAGAAAAAAAAACCTGGTACCTATGACTGTAATCCTAAAATTACCCACGAGACTGAAACCTGAACAAGCTCAGGCAAAAAAGTCTTGTGAGACATTATCTGCAGTGATCCAGCAAAATGCTGGGCTGAAGGCATGGCTCAAGTGGTAGAGGACCAGATGTGAGCAAGAAAGATGAACAAGAGCCTAAGACCCTCAGTTCAAGTCCCAGCACTGGCACAAAAGAAAAAAAAAGTTGCTAACTTTTATTATTGTTATGAATAGCCTTTAAAAATAAAGCTATTAAGGGGCTGGGAAGGTGACTTAGTGGTAGAGTGCTTGCCTTGAATGCATGAGGCCCTGGGTTCGATTCCTCAGCACCATATAAGCAGAAAAACAAATACAAAAAAAAAAAAATAAAGCTATCAACTGCTATAGCTATTGCTTTATAAAAATAAAAGGAATTTTTACAGTAAAAATACAACAATGATAAAAATGAGTTCTGGGACGGTGTCACGGAAGGTTGGTATGGCAGCCAATAGTTGCCATAGCTTCTCAACAACTGCACTCGGCCTGTCATGCCAGGCAGGCTCGGTCGGCCGCCACCATGGCGGTGCTGCCTGCCTTACCTTGTACTCCAGGGAGAGCAAAGTCTCTGTCTTGGACGTCCAGCTCCACCTGTGCACTATGTAGCCCTTCTGGTCATTGGTGGTTCCACCTTCGTCGTCGAAGAACAGAATATACGGACAGCTAGGAGATACACAGAAGTGAAAAGCTGCTGCCAGACCCTGGCAAGAAGCCTCCTCATGATAGGCTGCAGGCGGGCGAGGCTGGGAGTGTGCCCAGGCTGGGGGACAATGGAGGCTTATGGGTAGCCTGGCTTTCCTCACCTGCTGTGGTCCAGACCCCTACACACCTATTCATGCTACCATGACTGCCTGCAGCAAAGGCCAGGCTGAGGGAGAGAATAATCACAAGATTTATTCTGTCACCTAGAAGGTTGAGCACAAAATATCAGGCACCAAAGAGGGAATTGGAACCTCCACGACAGTAAAGGGAACATTCCTTCCCAGACAGCTACTTAGGAAAAGCCAGACGACGTCAACTTTTGCCTGGCAAGGACAGGTGCCTCTTTGGGCAGAAGCTCCATTTCATGATGAATCTTGTCACCTTGACTGGAAACACCTCTCATATAGGTGTTATTATAGATAGACCGTGAGGGAACCGACCTAATCAATGGGCGAACCCCTTGATAACTTCATAATCTGATGGTATAGTTGGGAGGCGATGAAAGGTAGGAGGTGGGCTTCAGTTACAGGAAGCAGAGCTTTGGAAGTATGTCCTGGGGAACCCTGGGAGTCCACGGGCCCCTTCTTGTTTGTCCTTTTTCCTGCTTCCCTGCCACCATGATGTAAACTGCTCTGCTCCGCCGTGCCAGGATGGACCAATACCACTGGAACCATGGCCCAGAATCTGTCTTTCTCTCCCTTAAGTTGTTTCTGCCAGACATTTCATCATGGCAATGGGAAAAGAACTAATATACCACAGAAGTGCTGTCCATGCCTCCCCTCACCTACTCCTAGCATAAGATAATTTTGTCACTAAGGAATTCTCCAGGGGGGTAGAGGCAGGGAGCAGACAGGATTCAGTGGTAGAACACATGCTCACCACAAGGTTTAATCTACAGCACCACTAAAAAAAAAACAACTGTGAATCTGACTAGTAATCAATCTGTTGGTGTGAGGTACAAGAGGGAGGGGGGGGTTACGCTGCCATTCTCCTTGGCTGTAACATGGAGCCAACCGGCAAAGGCTGGGCCTCAACACACCTGTGTCTCTGCAGACACTGCACACCTAGATCTCCTTCACCCCACCCCGTACCCTAAGGAACACGTCTATGGAAGAGACTTCCTCCAACCCACTTACCAAGCCTTTGAGTTGTAGTGGACACAGGCTTGGCCTTCAGCACTGAACAGTGCCAGGAACAAGTGAGGTATGTCATTAAAGAGGCAGGTGATGCTTCTGCCTGTGCAGCACGTGGGGATCTGACACACGGCGATGTTCCCGGAGGGATAGCTGGCAGGAGTGGTCAAGCAGAACTAACAAGAGACTCTCTCAGGTCCCCGGGGAAGCAAGTCACAGTGTTAGCTACTGGGTGCATCACTTTTCATCTTTAAAGACCCTGTCTGCACTTCACACATGTAACGGTTATATGGTTATAAAATCCAACTATGACCCAGGTATCTTCCTGCATTTTCTCATATAGGTGTTATTATCTCTGTCTCACAGACAAATAGGGTTTTCCTGAGTCTGACCGCTTTCAGTGGCATGGGACTTCCAAGGCTAAAACCAGGAAATCCAAGGAAAGACAGCATGAGTTAGTCACCCTCCTGCTGGGGAGTCAAAAATGGCCTGCTCCTTTTCATGAAAGATGGAAGGAGTGGAGTTGATGTGGTCTTCGGGGCCAACAATATTTCCAGTGTCATCAGAGCACTTTCCATTTTTACTATTCTAGGAAAAGTCCTACTTAAGAGTGTCTGAAAAGCACGGGGCCCAACTAAGGATGACATTACTGGTAACTATTGTCATGTATACAGGAGATTCTGAAGTAATATCCCAGACTTAAGAATTTCTGGGAAAAAAATAGAAGATTTCACCAGCTGAAAAAAAAATCAATTAATGGATAATAGCACAACAACTGAAATGAAAAATTCACTCAACAGATCAAAATGCTGAAGAGACTTCTTTAGGTTAAAATACAAAGGACACTGTCATAATGAAAAATTGCAGACATATCTAAGAGTCACACTCTAAGATGTATAAAGCAAAACAACAAAACTGAGGGAAAAATTATTCTATAGTAATAGCTAGAGACATCACTGCTTCACTACCAATAATGGATATGCAGAAGATTGATCAAGAACTAGAGGAGCTGCGCTTGGCATGGTGGCATATGCCTATAACAGCACTAAGGACCTCAGATAGAACTATGAGTTTGAGGCCAGCTTGGGCTACACAAAAAAATGAAGAAAAAGAGAGACAGAAATAGAGGTTTTGAGCAATACTATAACAGACAGCCCTAACTCACTGCAGAATCCAGAAATTTCTTCTTGAATTTATCTCTAGTAGAGATAATAATGTATGGGATCACAAAACAAATCTCAGCTGGCGCCGGTGGCTCACACCTGTAATCCTATCTACTCAGGAGGCTAAGATCTGAAGATCTTGGTTCAAAGCCAGCCAAAGGCAGGAGAGTCCTATTTCCAAGAAAATACTCAGAAAAAGCTGGAAGTGGCACTGTGGCTCAAGTGATAGAGCACTACCTTTGTGCAAAGAGAGGCTCAGGGGCAGGGCCCAGGCCCTGAGTTCACACTCCAGGACTGGCAACACACACACACATACACACATACACACACACACACACACACACACACACACACACACACATCTCAATAAGTTTCAAAAAGAGTTAAACCATAGAAAACTTCTTTAATCACATGGGATGAAATAACAATCAGTAACAGAAAATAGTTTAGAATATTAATAGATCTCTGAAGATTATTAACCCCCCAACAGATAAATTAGTCACAAAGGAAATTAAAAAAATACCTTTAGACCAGGTGCTAGTGGCTTACATCAGTAATCCTAGCTACTCAAGGGGCTGAGATATGAGGACCAGGTCCAGGTTCAAAGCCAGCCTGGGCAGAAACATCCCCATGAGAATTTTATCTTCAATAAACCACTCTAAAACCAGAAGTGGTACGGTAAAACACCAGACGAGCACAAAGGCTCAGGGACAGCACCCAAGCCCTGAGTTCAAGACCAATACTAACAAAAAATAACTTTAGATAAAGGAAAACAAAACCATAACCACGTAGCAAAAGTTACTTAGAAGAGGAAGTAAAAACAGCACTCAGGGAAAACTGTAGCTCTGAGTAGCCACACTGAAAGACAAGATCTCAGATCAACAAAGAAAAGAAGAGTGAGCTGAAGCAAAGCTAGCAGAGGAAGGAAAGCATTAAGATTAGAGTTAAGAAAGATAAGATAAAATTATAGGCTCATGCCTATAAACCTAACTACTCAGGAGACTGAAATCTGAGGATCACAGTTTACAGCTAGCCTGGGCAGGAAAGTCCAATACATCACAGAAAAAGCCAGAAGTGGTGCTGTAGCTCAAGTGGTAGAGTGCTAGCCTTGAGCAAAAAGGAGCTTAGAAACACTGCCTAGACCCTGAGTTCAAAGCCCAGGACCAGCAAGGGGGAAGAAGGGAAGAGAGGAGGAGAGAGGGAGAGAAAATACAAATAGAACCAACATGTGTGAGGATGGGGGGGGGGAACTGGGAGAGAGTGAGGGAAGGGGTGACATTGTCAAAACATAAATGTGCTCTTTATCCGGCTAATATAACTGTAACTTCTCTGTATATCACCTTTATATTAACAATAAATTTTTTTGGGGGGGGTCCGGTCGTGGAGCCTGAACTCTGGGCCTGGGCGCTGTCCCTCAGCTCTTCAGCTCAAGGCTAGCGCTCTACCACTTGAGCCACAGCGCCACTTCCGGCTTTTTTCTTTTTGCTTATGTGGTGCTGAGGAATCGAACCCAGGGCCTCAGGCATGCAAGGCAAGCACTCTACCACTGAGCCACCTTCCCAGAATCAATAAAACCAGAAGCTGGTTCTTTGACTAGATGAGTAAAACTCTTAAGACTGTTTTTTTTAAAGGGAGGGAAGGGGAGATTTGGCTGTAGCCTTACTTTGGAGGCTGAGATTGGGAACAGAGCCAGCATATGACCCCAAACAGGCACCTGTGCCTATTGGCCATTTGAACACAGAAACACGTAATTTCTCTTTTAAGACCACTAGGTCCAACTTTCTAAGTTATAATCAAGAAAAGCATGGAAGTGAAGTGATATGTGCAGGTCACACAAGTACTAAACACACAGCCCTGGCCTCTTTTGACTTCCAAAGAGAAAAGGGATCATCAGGTCACTGTTGAGATACGAATCAAACGTGCCAGTAGCAATTGACCGAAGGTTTAGGATGGTCCCTCTTACAGGCACCTTGGAATTCTGGGAAAGGTGAAAAAACAAGGCTTCCAAGCCATGCCCATCTCAGGTCCCTCCAACAGAAACCTAAATCATATAGTATTGATCCTATTAAACACTGTTAAGAGTCAGAAGAGGAGGAGCGGGAGCCCTACCACCAGATGTGATCAGCAGCTGCCATCAAAGGAGTTTGCTGTGCTCTAGATTGGATAATGGGAAGGGAGAGCCAAGTGGAATGTGATGAATGGATTCATTTACAGCCAGAGAAAGGAGACTCCTTTGACAGGGCACTTACATTCTGAGTTCCCTGCTCAGCCAAGAGGAGGCCGGATGAAGTGAGAGGGCTGTCAGTGGGCAAGCCTGGCTGGCATGCTGGCTTCTGGAGAGACACTGGGAAAAGCGCAGATACCTGTCCTCTCCCCTGCAGGAAGGCAGCGGATCCCAAGTGCCCAGACTGAGGGAGACCTCAGCCACAGAGCAATGGACACATGGACAGAGCACGAGGGGGTGAGCTTACACTCTTGATGGAGTAGGTGAACCTCTGGGATGACGTAGGAAAAGATCACAGGGGTCACGAATAGGAAAACAAATACCTCGAACACATCACCATACTCTTTTTTTTTTTTTTTGCCAGCACTAGAAGGCATCTTTTATTGAAAAAAAAAAAACCTACATAAAATCATCAATCTACTTACTGTTAAGAGAAAAGAGGCCAGAGAAAACTAAGATCCCTCAAAGAAAACTTTGGGCTTCCTCAGAGTAATTAAACCAAAGTGATTCCTTGGTAAGACCAGCACAACAAATGAATTTAAACAGTAACAAAATCCTAACACTTTATTAAATCATATGAGAGATAGACTGACAGACAGACAGAAAGACAAACAGAGATCTCACCATGAGGAGCACAGTCACTTTGGACAATTATACTGGAATCTATGCATCCACTTGTAGAATGCATTAAAAGCTGAGCATGTCTGTGTCAGTAAGACCTGTGAGGACTGAACCCTCACAGAGCAGAGAGGCCATCTGAAAACACACCGACAACTCAGAACACAGCCTTCAATTTATTAGTCAAAGCCTGGCATCAGTCATAAGCAAGTGAACAGTTTATGAAATAAACTGTAACAAGCAAAATATCAATGTATCAAAAGACGGTAAAAATATGTAAAATGCTTAGAATTAATTCGAGACTTAGAAAAATAGTTGAGTGGTAAAGTAATAAATGAAAGAAAATTCTCTGTTCATTCTACCTTCTATTCATACTTCATATGTATAAAATTTACACTTTGACTTTTCTTAAATTCCACTTCCTTCTAAAATCAGACTACTTCAAGAATTAAGGCTTGTCTACCTTAATATTTACATAAATACTTGTAGGCACATTTTAAGCTCTAAAATCTATGCTAACTCAACAGTATAAATCAAAGGAAAAAGCAATACCAGGTAACACTTTTCCATCATCTAATCAAAGTGAATTTAAAAAAAAAGAATTCTTAGGTACCTCTAGATATTCTCTATATTTGGGTAAGCGAAAGTTATTTAAAGCTACTCAACTAGACAAAAAAATTAAATAAAGGAAGAGTTAGACAATGCACAGGAGAATGCAAATAATTTGCATGAAGATCCTAAATCAGCTATTTAATTATTAATTACTGATAGGCCACAAAAAATAGAATATTAATTAAAGAGTAATATGCAGGAATGTCATTAATCTTTAATGAAGTTGTAGACACGTAAAATTTCCAAAAGAGAACTTTGCAAAGAACTGTGAGAAGGCGAGCTAGCTGTGTGTTACACATGCACATATATAGACCTATGGTACATGCAGCCAAGACACAATCTCCAGTGACTTCTCAAAGGTCATAGGGTTCAAGTTGCTGTGCTCTAAGGAAGAGATGACCCACACTGTTTTTACCGTCTCTCTCCTGGCAGAGGGCCAAAGACAGGGTGTCACTTGCACTGACAAACATCCACAGGTAGCTGGGGTTTGGTATGTTCCTGTGATCAGATCTGAATTCAATTCAAAGCCTAAAACTTGGATCATCTTCCTCTGACTCTCCTTAATCTGACCCAGACGCAGGCTTACTATCCTACAAGGCCCTGGCCAGACCTTTGCTTAGGTTATTTCAAGGCCTAGAATTCTCGGGGGCTCAGTGGTGGTTGAGGAAGGGTAGCACCGGGCAAAAGGATATTAAATGAAGGAGGACCCATCGTGGAAGGCGTGGTGGAACTTGAGGGGCTTCTTGAGCGCCTTCGTATCTTGCGATTGCGAGCCGCCCTGAGCATGGTGACTGACGGGCTGGTGAGAGGCGGAGGGGGAAGTGTGAGTCCCCATGGAGGAGTGGTGGGCTACCTGAAAGTCCACTTTGGAGGCTGGCGCTGGCTGGCCGGGCGGCTTGCACTTGTAGTTGCGTAAGATCAGGGGGTGGCAGACACTCCTCCCTTTGCATGTGGCCTTTTCAGTTTGTCTGCAGGGAAGGAGACAGGTGAATGGTGAATCTTCAGGCCTCTTGGCTCTCACTGGCCAATAGGTTGTCCACAATCCCTCCTCGGCACCAAAATCCCTGTCCTGGCCCCATTCCCCCTGCTAGTGTCCCTCACACCCAAGGCGGTGTTTTAGGAGGAAGTCAAGGGTTGAGGTGCTCCCCTGAGACTCAGCAAGCGCAGCCCGTAAGGTCCCAGAAAGAGGACCTGAGGAGCTGAAGACTGCTCACCCCTCCAGCCCACATCCCCAGCGTCCAGGGCAAAGGAGCTTCTAGAATGCCACAGTACAGAGATAAGCTGGGTGGCTGTCCTTTACCCACGCTCTGACACAGAGACCACCCCCCCCAGGAGACATATATGGCTTATAAATCTTAAATCTTTTGTCTGGCCCCTTGCAGGAACATTGAATTTCTTGCTAGGCCTTAGAACACTCACAAAATCGTAAGTATTCGCATCATCATTTTGTGGTCATTGCCAGTCCTGGGCTTGAACTCAGGGCCTGAGCTTCTTTTGCTCAAGGCTAACACTACCACTTGAGCCGCAATGCTACTTCTGGCTTTTTCTGTTGGTGTGGTACTGAGGAATTAGACCCAGAGCTTCATGCATGCTAGGCGAGCACTCTACCTTGAAGCCACATTCCCAGCCCCATGTAGATTTTTGTTTGAGAGGTACTAGGTGGTGGTGGTGGTGGTTGGTGGTGTTTTTGTTTTTTTTTTTTTCCTTTTGGTAGAACATCTGGGCAGATAATACTAAGAAACTGACACTCAGGCAAGAAACTGGACCTCCAGTTGCTACACAAAGGGGCTTCCTGGGAAAGGCAGCATGCTGCAGAGGCAAAAATCACTGCGTAGGAAGCCAGTGGCCATCTGACTGCTCAGGCGGCCTCAGGTCTCAAAATGAGCTGCAGAGTGGGAAGGACTACTGCCGTGCTTGAAGGAAGGATGACAGGGCGGGGGGCGGCGGGGGCGGGGGCGGGGCCCGGTCACCGAGGGCTCACTGCTAGCTCTTTGTCACAGCGGGTTTCCCAGGACCATACCCATCTCCCAGCCACTCAGGGGCTCACATGTGGCGACACATATCCTGCAGCATCTCGCGGGCCTCGGGGCAGGGGTCAGTGATTTCGATGTCGGGGAAGGCCTTCGTGTGCGAGGTTGGCGACGACTGGGTATCCTCCAAACCCTTGGACTTTCCTGGAGCTGAAGGAGGCAAGGTTAGGGAGGTATGTTCTCCAGCACCGCGTGTGTCTCAGGGCGAGGAGGCGGGGAGAATGGAGAGGGGATTATTTGTTTCGCAGGGATGAGAATTGATCGACTGGTGACATAAAACGATGTCATTCTGCAAGTCAGTGGTCATGCCTCGAGCCCACTGTCTGAGAGAAGTCAAAGCTGAGGTGAGCGTAGGCAGCATTAGACCAGACAGCAGCCTTATGGATCATGATGGGAATAGGGCTTAGATGAGGAAAGCCTCTGACAGTCCCCTCCCTTTTACTAAGGAGAGAGGATCCGGGGGGAAGGTACGTCACATAGCCGGCCGCATGCAGGGTGTAGAACAAACTCCAAGCTTTTCAGCTTCCAGCCTCACCTCCCGTGTCTGTGGGAATGAAAGCAACAGGGTGAGTGACCCACGTCTCCAACAGTCCTGCTCCTTTGCCATGTCAGCCGCCTGGCCCGCCCATCCTGTCATCAGCACGTCCTAGAGGTCTGCCTGTGCCTCAAGCCCTGTCCCTCTGACAAGCTGTTCTCCTGTGTGCTCCCACTTGCTACCTGCTCTTCCCTAAGCCCTTCTTTCTTGAGGGTCTTCCTCAGCAGGTCAGGGGTATGGCCAGGTCTGTTAGGCTTGCGATCCAAATATTTCTGTTCAAATATTAGCTCTCCATTTGGGGGATGGCTAAGAAGCGGAGGACAGAGGTGGAGATGGTGTGAAGGATGGAAGGTGCGGGCTGGTGGGCTGCTGTCTGCTGCATATTCTGAATGGAGCTGCTGGGGGTGCTCAGCCACCTTGACATGGGTGAGAATCGGTGTCTCCAAGGCCAGGCGGCCGAGAGTCTTCCTCTCAGAAACTCAGGCCTACCCATCCCACCAGCCACTCGGGCAGCCAAGGTCTCCCGGGGCTTCCTTTCCCCAGGCTTCTATCCCCAGACCACCACCAAGTGAGCCCCAGACCTTGCTGGGAGTACTCTACCTGTTTTCTTCCTGGGTTCCTTTGCAGTTGAGAGGGAAAAGCTCAGACAGGCAGTAGAAGACTGGTAGACGAGCTGATAAGGAGAGTTCACTCCCATGACAGAGATGTTCACAGGGGACTCTGGAGAGGAAAGAGCGAGCGAATCTTCTGCTTTAAAACTGTAACTGGTTTTTGTTGTTGTTGTTGTTTTCTGTGTGTGGAGTATGTATATGTGTCAGTCCTAGGGCTTGAACTCAGGGTCTGGGCACTGTCCCTGAGCTTTTTTGTTCAAGGCTAGCACTCTTAACACTTGAGCCATAGTTCCAACTCCAGTGGTTAATTGGGGTAAGAGTCTCATGGACTTTTTTCCCAGGCTGGCTTCAAACCACCATCCTCAGATCTCAGCCTCCTAATGCCGGGCATAAACTTTAACTGTTTTTAAAACAAAATGTAAATACAGACTTACTTTAATAGTATAGGATGCAAATATGAAGCTATTGTTACAAAACAACTACGTCGTGGGAGGAACAGACTTTTCGATGAACGGGTAAGCTCAGAGTAATTAGGGGACATGCTGAAAGGTAGCCTCTACAGTGCGTCCGCCTCCCCACAACCTCTCAGGGGTGCATTAGCACCAGGGCAGGAAGCAGCGCTCAAGCAAAAGGTGACGTTACCCGAGGGTAAATGAAAAGGAACGGGTGCCACACACGGTGGAGAGAATGACCTTTGGGCCAGCGAGGGGGACCAGATGCTTCTTCAACCATGTGTCCATCAGGACACATGGACCCTCCTATACGGAACCACGTAATGTGTGAGCATTTGAGATCTCACATGCAGCATTCTCCTCACCGGTAGAAAACCTGCATCCTTCTGATGCGAACCTCACCACGCCATCGCTTACTCTTTCCCCAGAGATGGTCCTGTCCGTAAGCAGGCACAAAACCACTGTTAGGAGATACTATGCAATACACCCCTCATAGCATACTGGAAAAGAAAATGGCCAACCCAACCACACAAGTAACAACTATAAACACGCATCACAAAACATGGAGATGACTGCCATAGCTAGTGATCCAAGCACTGAAATTCAAACAACTTCCAGTCTCCTCTACTTTAAGCAGATAAAGACCAACAAGAACCAGTCCTGGTAAAGGTGAAGAACAAAACCCATCATCCCTGTCAGTGTAGGAAACCATTCTTGCAGAAAGAGGAGATCTACATATTCTGTGACCCTTTCTGCTCACCAATCCCTCCCTTGGGAAATTAATTTTAATAACCAATACAACTGAAACAAGAGATGACACACATACAGTGGCCATGTTAGACTAATACAAGTCATGTAGGTAAATATGGAACATGAACAGTAGGAGGAGTCTGCACACATTCATGACAATTATTGAGCCGATATAGCCTTGCTGGAAAGTGTCTGTAATCTGCCACATAAAAGAACCTGATTACAGGTGTGTAATCCTAGCTACCCAGGAGGCTGAGATCTGCGGATCACAGTTCAAAGCCAGCCCAGGCAGGAAAGGCTGAGACACTCTTACATTTAATTAATGATCAAAAAAGCCAGAAGTAGAAGTGGTAGAGTGCCAGCCTTGAGCAAAAAAGCTAGCAATAATGCCCAAGCCCTGAGTTCAGGACAGGCACAAAAAGAAAAGAAACAGAAAACTGTGTTACTTAGATTTGGGTGCTTTTCTTTCCCTGAACTCTAGGCTCCTTTAAAAAGGTGACTTCAGTGCCCGTAGTGCCAGCTGTCGAGCATGCTTTCCCAGTGACAGGGGTCTTCTCTGCCCTCCCTGGGGCAGACGCCACCGAATCTCCTCAGAGGTCTCCAGAGACTGATCAAGTTCTCCCCCCACTCCCCTCAGAATCAGAGGCTACACAGGATACAGGAGTCCTGGAGACACAAGGCTGTCATCCTGAAAACAACCACAACGCTGACTCAGAGTAACTATGAGATAAGCACTGATGGTGAAGATCTGAACATTGGGTTTTGTTTTGTTTTGCCAATACAGGCCAGCATTTTGCTGGCTAATTGGAGATTCAGTCTCACGGACTTTTCTGCTCAGTTTTGGCTTCAAACAGTGGTCCTCCAGGTCTCAGCCTCCTCGGTAGCTGAGATTATTTTTCTTTTAAAGGTGATGGGACATAATACAGTTGTCCCTGATAGCCACAGGTCATTGGTTCCAGACCCCCGGGCATGCCAAAATCGAGGATTTAGGCCAATACAGTCACATAGCACTTATATAGAACATGACCTACTATATACCTTAAATCATCTCTAGCTGGCTTAGACTTTACTCAGTGCAAATGCTATGCAAACAGCTGTGTTCTATAAGAGACTAATGACAGGGGAAGTATGTGCACATATTCAGTAGGAGAATTTTTTTTTTTTTGGGGGGGGGGTCCGGTCGTGGGGCATGAACTCTGGGCCTGGGCGCTGTCCCTCAGCTCTTCAGCTCAAGGCTAGCGCTCTACCACTTAAGTCACAGCGCCACTTCCGGCTTTTTTTTTCTTTTTGCTTATGTGGTGCTGAGGAATCGAATCCAGGGCCTCAGGCATGCAAGCCAAGCGCTCTACCACTGAGCCACCTTCCCAGCCCCAGTAGGAGAATTTTTAAAAAAATATTTTCAATCTGTGGCTGGATCTACACATGTGCATCTGGAACCCACGGTCAGAGTTCAGCTGTGTTCAAGTAGGAGAGCACAAAGGCCTGAGATGGAGAGGGTGTGCCCGGTCCTATCCTGTCCTGCACACCTCATCACTGTGAACAGACCACCGCAGGCAGCTATGATCCCACAGGAAGTGAGCGCTAAGCCCAGTATGTCCATTACCGTCCACCTGAACAGTTCAGCGAAGTTCAAGGACAGGTGGTCACAGAACCTGGCTGTTCGATACCAAATGAGCTTGTACAATGTCAGTCCCTTCAATGGGGACCTCTACTTCATGGTAATTTGGAGAGAAGGAGGTTAACTGTAATTTATCTTAGAAAAAGAAACCAAAATCTATCAAAATAAGCTTCTTTATCCTGACAAAAATCAGAGCCAGATGCTGGTGGCTCACACCTATAATCCTAAAGGCTGAGATCTGAGGATCATGATTCAAAGCCAGCCCAGGTAGAAAAGTCCACGATACTCTTATTTCTAATTAACCACCCAATACCAGAAGTGGAGCTGTGGCTCAACTGGTAGAGCACCAGCCTTAAACAAAAAAAGCTAAGGAACAGTACCCAGACTGAGTTCAAACCCCAGTACTAGTATGCACGTACACGAATGCACAAATTATATTTGATAACATAAGTACATACCAATTCTTATAGAACTTAAAACTGGTTACACCAGGTTTTTGTTCCAGAAAAACTATGTATAGCCACAAAATAGGATCTTCTTATAACCGCCTTTTGTAAAAATATTTAAGGACTTTATCACTTTTTATCTTTAGTTCTTTAACACTCCAAACAGCTTTTATTCAGCTGTTATTGAGATTTCCCCCATTGGTGGCTAAATAGTTTCATCCTGTCACAGGGAACTGAGGACCTTTCCCTTTAGGGATTTCACTGACTTCCATGAAACCCTACATTTCCCCCCAAAGCTGCAGTTTTAACTATTCATTTTATTTGCACTGGATTTCCATATCACCAGATGTTTGGCCTCCAATCATCAGGGAAAACCTGACAAAGAAACCAACTCAGAAGACAAAGAAAGACACCAATGAGTAATGGGTGGCTTACTTTGTATATGAAGGTGAGTGATTAAGATACAATTTTTTGTGTGTGTGCCTATCCTAGGGCTTGAACTCAGTCCCTGTGCACTGTTCCTGAGCTTTGTGCTCAAGACTAGTGCTCTACTACTTTGAGCCACAGTGCCATTTCTGACTGTTTTTTTTTTTTTTTTGGTGGCTAATTGGAGATAAGGTAAGGAAAGTCTCATAGACTTTCCTGCCTCAGCTGGCTTTGAACTGTGATCCTCAGATCTCAGCCTCCTGAGTAGCTAGGATTACAGGCATGAGTCACCAGCACCTGGCAAGATACAATTTTTTAATTCTTTTTCTAGTGTGTGTTAACTGCTTCAAGGGATTTCACTGTAGATACATTTTGGGGGAGCACCGGGTTGTGAGGTGCATAGGCCTCCCACAAAGAGGCACTCAGACTGCTCTTTCTGGGTGCAGCACCAAGTGTTTACTCACCAGCAGCAGCAGAGGGCCCGTGGCTCTATATTTGCCTCTATGCTTGGGTTTTACCTTTGCAACGGCCTTGCTGACACTGCATGTACTTTTTGCCTATAAGCAGCAGCTCAGGCACCCACCTTTCCCTACATGTCCCACACTGTAGACACTTCTCCCAACGGTGCCAATCAGAGAGTCAAGGGCCATCTCCTTGGCATTAAGGTGGAGCAACTGGCTGGCCTCCACGAAGCGCCTGGTGATATCCAGGGGGTTGGCACCTGCAGAGGAATGATGACAGGCATGGAGACGGCACGGGGCGGCGCCTCCGGGATGAGACACTTGCAAACAGCCAAGGGGAATAAGGGCAGTGAAGACTTCCTAATGGAAGGTGAGGGGTTCCTAAGGAAATAGTCTCCTGCTTTTGAGACCCAGCAGGCAGCATTTCTCTCCCTGTCTGCCCACCCTGCCTCTCCCTGGTATTGGCTGAGTTCCCACCAACTGACCCTCTTCATTCACAAATTTGTGCGTAGCTTTACCACCCTCTGTACCTCTGACTGCTTATTGCTGTACTGCCAACCTGCCAACCTGAGCTCCACAGAGCTGGGAGATGGGAGGGGAGAGCAGAGAAGGGGAAAGGGACGATTCCTGGCAGGGTCGAGGGGAGAAATTCAAGTTCTATAGCAGACCCTCGACCACCGTCCGTATCTAGCACAAACCTATTATATTCAAGTTGAATATCTCTTATTCAAAGTGCTTAGGACCAGAAGTGTTTTGGTTTGGGGTTTGCACATTATTTAATCAGCTACCTTGGGGACAGGACCCAAGTCTAAACGTGAAACTCACTGATGGCTTGTGCACATCCTATACACAGAGCTAAGGTAATTTTATACAGTGTTTGGAGCACACCTGCCATTCTCACAGGACATTAGGCATGAAATTTCTCACTGTGGCACCGTATCGCCAATCGGGAAATTTCGGGTTTGAGAATGCTTCAGACGCTCAGGTTAAGGATGCTCAACTGTCACTGTCCATGGTGGCCGCGACGAATACACACACCCACGGGCTGGGATGGAGGGAGATGCGTGACCATCCTTACCAGAGACAGCCTCCAGCATGGCCTTCATCTTCAGGGCGAGGAGCTCCGTCAGCAGATGGATGGACTGCCTCTGAAACTTGTTTAGGGACTCCTGGCCAGAGGGCCCATGGCGGGAGGGCTTGCGAGGGATGGTGGGTTGCTTGGCCAGCGCCCCTGATGTGGGTTGTGGTGTGGAGGGTAATGGCTTCCTCTGGACGAGGATTTGTGGCTGAGCCATTTCTGCAGGTGTAGGGGGGGGTCCGAAGCTGGTCTCCAGGCCCGCGATGTCGGAAGGGGTGGTCACCATGGGGTCAGCAATGAGCTCCTCCCAGGTGAACTCAAAGATGTTCCTGATGCCCTTTGGAACGGCAACGCCCGCGTTGCGGCAGATAACGATGAGTTTGCAGATGCGGGCCAGCAGCCTGGGAGCCATGGCCGAATATTCCAGAAACAGCTGCCTGTTACCCTTCACCATGCTCATGCTGCCTGCGCACACATCATGTTAGGTAATGCTGTCCATTTCAGAGAGGTTCCTTCTGTAGTCAAGACTTGGCGCAAGCGCTCTGACACGTGATCGAGGACAGCAGCTCACACTATAGCGAGGCCTCCCAGACAGGCGGGGTGTGCATGCTGAAATGGCCCTCACAGGTCATTCCACCAGCAGTTCCTGACCTGCAGGGACAAGGAAGTCCCCGGTCATTCCCGCACAGTGGGGGTCCCCAGAGCTGCTTTCAGAAGGATCTGCTGTGGGGATAGGTCCAGAAAACCTTCAGGGACAGTCAGACAAGCTGAGTGCCAAAGGGAGGGGCCAGGGGTGGGAGGGTGAGGGGGGCGGAGGAACAGAAAGGCAAGGAAGAGAGGGAGACCTGCCATACCTTTGTAGTCACACATCCAAAACAGAAGATCTGCTATGGTCTATTGGTAAAAGCCTGGAAAGACAAAGAGACATTCTGTTGGCATTCAACACCAGAACAGGCATGGAATCACCCAAGATGCAAGAGGGTCATGAGTTTGAGACCAGTATGGCTACATAAAAAGAGCTGTGTGTTGAGGAACCAGAGCTCTTGGGAGGTTGGGGGGTACTATCTCTAGAGGCCAAGCACGCAGGCCTTTCCAGACACTACAGTCCTCCTTCATGGCCTCTGTGCTGTTGCTGTCCAGGAATAGAATCTGAAGGGGAGCCACACGGAGCAAATCTTGCTCATGTTCTGCCGGCCTGCTGATACAGTGGCTTCCTATGTCTACTGCTGACCCCTCATCCCCATTCCTTAGCTTTGCAAGCTTTGAGAAATAGATGAGCCTTTGAAATGTAAGTCTACAGAACAAAGAAACCACTCAGAATCTCAAGTCACATGGGCAGCCCGGCAACCAGCCAGCAGGATCTGACCCTGACCATGCAGGAACGGTTCTTCTTTTCTTTTCTTTCTTTTTAAGTTAGGACCCAGATGAAGATAATGGTTAATAGAATCCTTGAAAATCTTTGCGATATTATCTCATTGGGGAATTCCTCCTCCTACACCCCACCCCCATCCAATGAGTTCCTTTCTTCTGAGGTTAATTTTGAAGATAGGATTTACAGACAGATAAAAGCTGACTTTTAAAGCAGTCTTACAGATACCGATTTTAATATATATATATATTAAAATGGTATTTACTATATCACTAATTTTAGAACATTTCATCAAAGAAATCCATCAGTAATTTCTTTCTCGGAGACAACCATTCATCCAGTTTCTGTCTGCAGAGATCTGGCAGTTCTGCACGTTACATGTAAATGGAGTCATGTCATTCGTGAGTGGCTCTTCGTACTTGCTGTTTCCTGAACTTCAACCACGATGCCGTAAGTGCAAGTAATCCATCTCTTTTAATGGCCGAGTAATAGTATTCCGTTGTATAGATATGTTAAACTTTGTTGGTGTACTAGTAGACATGCATTTCCATTGCTTCTGCGTGGGGCCTTCATGAATGCTGCCACAAGACTCTGCACGAGTGTTTGCAGACAGAATCAACAATTACTAATGTTAATGTTCATCGTCTTATCTCAGTGCAGAGGAAGCTTTTCATCCTCCAGGCTGTACCTCTGTAAGTGTAACTGCTGGGTCATAAGGTCACTCACTGTTGAATTTTTTTAAGAACTGCTGTACTGTTCCAAAGTGGCTGCATTACCTGGTCCCATCAGCAATATCATAAGCATTCCAGACATGATTTAAAAGGAAGCTACTTTTTTGGAGAGAATGCTTTTCCTTTACCCTCTTCCTTTCATCGTTGTTGTCCAAAATAGATGAGACTGCTGTAGCTCCAAACAGCTATTTTGAGCCATGGAGAGGGAAACCAAACATTAGTGGTGGCTACAGAGCAACAGAGCCAGGGCTCCTGACAATCGTGGCACCCCCACATTACACCTTAATCTCCTGCCTCCAAACTGCCATCACAAGATAATAAACCCTTAGTCTCTGCAATCCACTCCGATCTCTATCCTTGCCACCAAATGTGGTCCTTGACAGTCAGGTGATTGTTCCTGTTTATCCCATTATAACCTGCCACTCACCTTTCCATCACCCAGACACAGCCCTTATCCCCAAATAGCTCAAAATCTGAGAGGGTGGGGGGAGGTAGACCAAAACTAGCTATTATGCTTGACAGGATCACTACAGAAAAATGAGCAAAGGCCACAGAAACCTAAAGAGGAAAGTCAAGAGGAAGGAACAACAGATGGCATAAGATAGCAAAAAGCCAGGTAGAGAAGGTGAGAGGGAGGCCCCGCAGAAGGAACAGCATGCAAAGGCCCAGGGCCATCTAGAGCCCCGTGGGGGCCAAGGAAACTGTAGGATGGCAGAAGACCAACCTGGTAATATGGCCTGAGATCAGGCCAGGTGAAGCCTTGCATGTCACGCCAGAGAACTTGTACTTGCTGTATCTTTGAATGCTGCAAACAAGTACAGTCTCCAGGCCTATAAAGACAGGCCACATAGGAGGCATAGGGGTCCACATGAGAGCATAATGGAGCTGTTAACTTCCTAGTCTGGTTATGTCACATTATGTTGTCATCATACCCATCACAATGCAGTGCTAGCAGTGTTTCCTTCTTTGTGGCGACACTGATGCCAGTGCACGCAATACCCATGCTGATGGCTGTGTAAATGCCTGCACACATGACAAAGGGGAAATGCAGGGGCACACCTTCCTTGTACTTGCACTCATCCACCAGCACATTTTTCAGTATACACAAACTAAACACTAAAAGCAAAATGAAATCAGCCTTCCTCCAGTTATCTCCCGCAGGTTATCTGGGGCTGGCTCTCTCTCTGCCGTTTTGTGTAGTTTCTGGTTTCCTCTAGATCAGCTTTAGGAATCTGCATGGAATCCAGATGTAAGTGCGCTGGGCGAAGACAGCTGCAGACCAGGCCACTTGAGGCAGGAAAGAAACAGAGGCGGGAAGGCTCACTGATGCTGTCCTCTGGCCTGGCTGATAAAGATTCTGGCAAATGCCTGACTTTTCATCAGAGAGGAAAGCAGGAGCGCCTGACCACAGAGAAGTGGTTTTCCAGCACCGTCAGGGCCAGCAGACACACAATCGAGTTTCACACAGTACCTTGCCAAGGCTCAACACCAACCCAAGGCGGCCCACATTCCCATCCTTTCTGAACCCGTGCTTCCTCAGTCAGGAGGACTACTGCGGTGGCAAAGGCATTCACAGAGATGGGCCCCAAAACAGACCTAACAATGACCATCCTTCTGACCCAGTGATGTCACTCCTGAAAGGGGCTGGATTCAAAAGCAGCAGCCTTCCTATAAATATCTATGCTTGTTAAATTTTGATTTAGTTCAGTTTAATTGTCTTTAAAGACCTTTCAGCCACATCCTTCCTAATTAATAGAGATAATACACAGCAACAACTGAAGTGCTGAACAGTGAAATCTATCACTTTGATGATTAGGCAGCAATTAAAAATATCTGAGCAGACCAGCTTTAGAACTGGTAAGTGGAAGCAAGAGAACCAAATGGTAGGGTATGCCTGCACACTGTCCACAGGTTCTTTGAAAACCAGACAAATGGTATGTATACCTGGCACTCTGACCAGACTCCTGGAAAACCACACAAATGGTTGCACACCAACTACAGGTCTGCAGACCAAAATAAAAAGGAAGGAAGGAAGGAAGGGAGGTAGGGAGGGAGGGAGGGAGGGAGGGAGGGAGGGAAAGAAAGAAAGAGGAGGGAGAGAAAAGAAAAGAAAAAAGGGAAAAGGAAAGGAAATGCCGATATATTAAGATGTACAGGGAGACTTAAAAACAGTTGGGAAGAAAATAAAAATTCCGGTGCCCCACAAAGCTAGCAGGGCAGTTTTCAGAGGTACTTGTGGCCTGGGTCAGAGCCCACTCTTGAATATTCCTGTTTTCACAAACAACAGACAGTGTGTGGACAAGGTGGTGTGGACAGAATGGACACCCGTTTCCAGCTCAGGGAAGCTTAATACTAAGTGACAAAGCAGAAGAAAACGAAGGACAGTAGGCCATACTGCAGCCACAGCGAGCCCCAGAGAACACACGTTACCCAGGCCACACTGCCGCTAAGCATGGTGAGATTTCAGAGTTAGGGAGAACATGGCAGTTAGAGATGGAGTGGAGCAGCCTATTTAAATTGTAAGTGGAAGCGGGAATGTTTCTGACCACTCCTCTACCAGACAAACATGCATTTGCTATGCATGGATGTACACAGTCCTGGATTTATTAAGAAACACCATGGCAGACTAGGCTAAAAACAGGTTTTCATAAAACACCTTGCTCTGTGTGAACATTCTGATTTTCCAGTTTTCCTAGACAGTAATACCAACCGCTGTCCCCAGCTCTTCTTCCCCAGTGTGTACAAGTACACACACATACACTTAAAAAGACAGGGAGATATCCAAAACCTACACCAGCAACATGCTTCCCAATAATACCTAACAGGAGAGAGGCAGGAGCTTCTTTCATTGTTTTCAGGGGATCGACAAATTCTTTGCAATTATCACCATTTACCTTAGTCATGGAAGTATTATATATGAGCAGTTTGACTTACAAGTGATGTAACTTGACTTGCTGGCTTAAAAGGAAACGACCTGCATATGGTATGGCTATGTTAACTGTAAAGACCAGTACCCACCCCCATTCCAAATTCTACTGCATCAGTATGTCACAAGGTTAGCTGAAAGCCAGAGCACAGGCTGCAAGCATTGCAGCCTTCAGGGGAACAAATGATCCCCAAGTCTATGGCCAACACAGGGCTAAGCAGAGAAGGGTTCTCATGTATATGGATTTGAATATTCTTTTGGGAATTTTACACGTAAACAAAATGATTTAGTGAGCTAATTCAAACGAACTGTTCTAATATACACAAAGGCCTGGAGGAGAGGTTACAAGGAAAGCATGAGGTGTGGCCACAGGCAGGTTTTGCCTCTACTTGTTCCCAAGTTTGCATGTGGGGTATCTTGACTTCACTTGCTGATTGTTCACTTACCAATGGAAGCTGTATGGCTGGACAGAGCCAGTCATGTGGAGCTGCATCAGGTGCTGAGGACCTATATCGCTAGTTTTATTTACTGTAACTTAATTCTATTGTTGGATATCTTAAATATTTGGGGAACAATTTGGACTGGAACATACTCCAACTGTCTTTTAGGACATCTCAATATGGATCAAATATTGCACATAATGTCCAAGCTATGGATGACTATGGGTGGTACACACCTGGAATCCCTAGACTGGGAGGTGGAAACATGAGGTCTGTGGAGTTCAAGGTTAGCCTGGGCTGTATCTTGAGATCCTATCTCAAACACACACACACACACACACAGCAAAGAGAGCATATTCAAACGGAGATATTCGCTGTGATGCAGTACACTCTGAAAACAGTGTAAAAAATTTTAAATTATCTCACTAATAATTTCCATGAATTAACTACATGCTACCTTTTGGCCAGCTTGGGTTGAACATGAAACATCCAAGTTAATTTGGCTTTAATTTTTTTATTTTGTGATATTGGGGTTTATTATTTTAATTGGATTTTTAAATACTGTTCTTCGTAAACAACATTATAGTTCTATTTCTATGTATTTCTATTAGACTGCTGCTTTAGAGCATGGATCTGAGTACACCAACGCCATCTGCTGGATACACTAAATGGTACCAAACAAGCTGGAGACTTGCTGAAGGGGTACTAACACTTGAACTGTGGGTCTAAAGCAGAACAGGATATAGCTGGACTCACAAAAACTGAAATTTATGCTACAAGGAAGGTACTAGGAACAGGCTTGTACAGTCTCTCAAATCCCAGGGAACTCATGACTTATTAGTCACAGCCAACATGCACACTGATTCTGTTCACACTAGCTGCTCTAGGCCAGGACAAAAAATGCCACTCGGGGGGCCCACCCTGAAGTAGGCTCTGGATGCCACCTGGCTGATCTTCTGGTCCCTCATTCAAGGGTACCACTGCCGCCCCCTCCCCGCCCCCCCTCCCGCCCCCCCCCATCCCCCTCCCGAGTCCTCGCGTGCCCCGCCTTACAAACATTCACTACATCTTTCTCATGGTCTATCCCTGTTTCCCATCTCATCTTCCTTTTTCCATTTCTTATGACTCTTAACATACAGTCATTATTTCTTTTTAGTTTTTTCGCCTTTTCCTCCTTTGTCCTGTAAGCTGTTTCAACTGGTTGGTCTTGAGTCTATTTAAGTTGGTCTTTTGTAGGAGTAATTGCTATCCAGGTGTCCCAGCCCTGTGTGTTGAAGGGACTATTAGTTGCCCACTGGATGGTCCTGGTGCTCCTGTCAAGTCAACTGACCATGAGTTCACTTCTACTGCACTGATCTATCCATCTGTACCCATGCCAGGACACAACAGGTATTACAGCTTTGCAACTGGACTTGAAATCAGCAAGTGCAAGTCCTCCAACTTTGTTCTTTTAACAAGACTGTTTGGCTATTCCAAATTGAATTTTAGGATCAGCTTGTCAATTTCTGCAAAGAAGACAGTTCAATTAGTGGGGTTACACTTGCATTTATTCAGAGGTATTTGCTAGATTAGGCCGACAGAATGACAATAGGTAGCAACTCTGCCAATGCTATGGATTCAGAAGTAAGAAAATTTTTGTCCAAATCTGCTTCACTTGAGGCAACAAGGCTATGAACAGAGAGCACTTGGAGCATCACGACTTCTGTAGAGGTTAGACATAGTGGCATTTTGGTGGCCAGTTGCTGACCCTCTCCCCTGCTCCTGCATGTCATCTGTAGTGAGGATGAGGGCACTCCTGTCCGACACCACCGTGCTGGAGAAGTCAGCCATCACAGAGACCCACAGAGGCTAGATGCTATCTCCTTCCCACTTCCTCCTTCAGGGAACTTTGAAGACTTCAGCTGAGTTCCAACAGGACACCCACCAGCCTGGGGCCTGCCCCAGAGTCAGATGGGCATGGCAAACAACTCCCAGCTACTTATCTGTGCTATACAGGGGTCCCTCTGGACGACAGAGGCAGGGCGGTCTCTAGCCTAGTGCCATTTCTTGGAACCCTGCCTACCTGGACACCTCTTCATAGTAAGGACACAGGGACCTACCTGCTTCACTCCACACAAGCATACATCTGATCCAATCAGGAAGGCCTAGGGCAGTCTGGAGTGTCAGCAGGAGGACAGGACAAGCTAAAAAACTCTAATTGTTATACCCAAGATGCACTGAGTCCACTGAATCTCTGACCAGTCTCAGTGGACTCCAGAAATGTTTCATCAGATAACTACTGTGCACAGGAATGTGGAAAGCCTTCCTGGATTACAAAGGCACTCTCCCTGGCCTCACTGTTTCAAATACTGCACCAGATCCAGGATCTTCTGGGGAAATGGAATACTTTGCCTCTCTTAAGATACTCTTCCTTTGCCTGCTGGACAATCAAGAGCTCCTTCTGATCTATGCTCCAACTAACCTGGATGCTGAACCTTTAAATAAAGATACCTAATATGCTAGTGTTTGCAAAAGGACTGAAATTCATAATTCATAAATCTAAGTCATGGGAGTAGGTATGAAATAGAGAGCATAAGCCCAGTGCTGGTGGCTCATGCCTGTAATCCTAGCTACTCAGAAGGCTGAGATCTGAGGATCACAGCTCAAAGTCCCCATGAGACTCTTGTGGTAGAGTGCTAGTCTTGAACAAACAAGAGCTCAGTGCATAGGCCCTAAGTTCAAACCCCACAACTGACAAAAAAAAAAAAAAAAAAAAAAAACCATTATAAATGCCTGGACTGGCGAGGCACTGGTGGCTCACGCCTGTAATCATAGCTACTCAGGAGGTTGAGATCTGAGAGTCATGGTTCAAAGACAGCCTGGACAGGAAAATCCATGAGACTTATCTCCAATAAACCACCAGAAAACCAGAAGTGGTGCTGTGGCTCAAGTGGTAGAGCTCTAGCCTTGAGATGAAGAGCTGAGGGACATCATCCATGCCCAAAGTTTAAACCCCATGACTGACCCTCTCCCCCCAAAAAGAAGCCTGGACTGCACTTGCATGAAGCAGAGCAGGTAGGTTTCTTCTACACCACCCATTAGTAATAAATACACAGTAAGGTAATGAAAAATTCCCATTCTCCCATTTACCTTCTCCCCTACTGATAAATCCAGCCTAGGACCAGCCTGTGCCTTCCCGGGAAAGGGAAAGAGGATACAGGTACATTTCAGTCCCCAAAGTTATTTCTCCTCCTCTGGGAGAGGAAGTCACCACTAAGGGTACAAACCCAAGTTCAAAATGCTGTTGGAGATCATGTTACTTGTTTATAGTATGATATCATATCATCCAGCGTTTCAAAATTGACTGTGGGGGCTTGTGGTGTGGCTTCACGAGCAGGCGGGGGTGGCATGTGTGCAGTGCGGGGCTCCGGGCCCTGGGCACAGGGCTGCTCGGGGTCACTTGGTGCAGGTCCAGATCTGTTCCACATCTGGCTACTCAAAGAAGTTCTCTTTTGACCCACAAAGTAATCTGATGGTGGGGCAAACTCAGGATCCCGCTCAGCCCGGAGATCTGACTGTCTCTTCGACCAGTAACCAAAGGAAAATTCTAGTGAAGATGAGAAAGAATAGTTAGAATACTGATTAATTAATTACGAGATAAATTCATTGTTATTATTTGCCAATTAGCTTATACATGTATTTCTGAAAAGCCATTTTCATGCCTGTAATCCTAGCTACTCTGGAGGCTGAGATCCAAGGATCCTGGTTCGAAGCCAGTCTGGGTAAGAAAGTCCCTAAGACTCTATAACCACCAAAAAGCTGAAAGTGGAGCTGTAGGCTCAAGTGGTACAGGACTAGATTTGAGTACAAAAATTCAAGAACAGCACCTAAGTCCTGAGTTCAAAACCCAGGACCTAAAAAAAAAAAAGCCATACTGAACTCTGGAAGATAAGAGAGGCCAATGACAAAGCTTTGTCATTTGTCATTTGTCAAAGATATTTTGTATTGTCGGGTGCTGGAGGCTCACATCTGTAATCCTAGCTACTCAGGAGGCTGAGATCTGATCACAGTTCAAAGCCAGCCCGGGTAGGAAAGTCTGTGAGACTCTTATCTCTAATAAACCACTCAGAAAACTAGAAGTGGTCCGTGGCTCCAGTGGTAGAGCGCTAGCATTGAGCTGAAGAGCTGAGGGACAGCACTCAGGCCAAGTTTAAGTCCTACAACCAACAAAAGGGGGGGTGGTATTTTATATCTACAAATAGTATTAGCAGCCAGGCATCAGTGGCTCATTCCTGTAATCGTAGCTACTCAGGAGGCCGAGACCTGAAGGGTCAAGGTTTGAAGCCAGCTGGGACAGAAAATTCTGAGACACTCTACCTTCAATTTAATCAGCAAAATGCCAAGTTGAAGATATGGCTCAAGAGGTAGAACTATTTAAAAGTTGAGTATGAGATATTAAGTGAGAGTGCAAGGCCAAGGTGAAGCCCTGTGCTGCTGGCACACGTGTGTACGCACACACACAATCAAGAAACTAGGATAAGATATGGGAGTGACTTTAGACATGGAAAGATTAGAGAAAGACTGTGAAAAGGCTTGCAGGTTCTGAAGACTGTCAAAAAAGGCTCTAGAATTCACTTGAAGAGAAAAAAAGAAAAAAAGAATAGTCAAATCATTTGTTTGACAAGATACGGTATATGCCATACCAAAACCTAAACTTTCATCTTTTGTTGAATTTTGTTGTCTTTCGTTGAGACACAGAAGAAATGTGTACAAACCTTAACTAAATTGGCATTCTACAGTATAACGCCACACAAAAACAGCACTAACTTAAGCTTTTCCTTTGTGCTTCAATAAACAAAAGGAGCTCCGTCCTCCTGGCATGACGCCTTTGCAGACCCTGCTCTTTCATGCTTGCATTTTTCAGGTCTCCCAACTAGTGTGGAAAGAAACAAGTTCAAGACTTTGAGGTTTCCTCAGACCTCCAAGGACCTTCAATATCACCAAGGGGCTGGGGGGTGGCTCAGCAGAGGGCCTGCCCAACATGTGCGAGAGCCTGGGTTCGATCCCAGCACCATAAACAACAGTACCATACCAGAATCACACTTGGATAAAACAATGCACCCCTCGTAAGGCTGCTGACTGGAAAAGGTTTCACACCTGACACCTTCTCCCTTACCTTTTCCTCGGTCCCACTCTCTGACGTGAGGTACTCCTGGCCTGGTATCCTTCCTCTCCTGGATGATGACTTCCACCTTGCTGCTCTGGGCAACTGGAGCTGGAGCTGGAGCTGGCATAGCCTTTGCCTCTGATGGCAAAGGTCCAATAATGTCTCCATCTGTTTTACATATGGAAACAAGACCTCATTGTAATACTTTTTAAATGACCATGCTAGTCCTGAGAGTAAAAGCAACATCTAGTATTTGTAGAGTACCTATTACATCCCAGGTGGTGGGCTTGTAAGCACTTTATATACAACTAATTATTTAACTCATAACAAATTAATAAATGCAGTATTCCATTTTATTCCCACTTTGACTCTGAGGAAGACTCAGCTCAATGTTAAGAAAGGACTCAATGTTGAAAACAGACTTCACAACTTCGGGGGAGGAGGGGAGGAGGAGGAGTTGGGGAGGTATGGAGGGAAGGAATAGTAGGGGAAAAACAAAGGAGATGTAACAATGTTCCATAGGAAATGCATTCATTACCTTACTCATGTAACTATAACCCCTCTGTATAGTATCTTTACAATAAAAAGTAACTTAAAAAAAAGGACTCTAAACCCAGGTTCAGAGATTTCAAAGACTGCTCTGTTATGCCCCCCAAGTTTTCCTAAGCCAACAATCAAAGGATCAGAAACCTCCAAATTAGCCAAGTAAAGCATCAAGCCCAGACAAAGCAAACACAGTCAGGGTGCTATGGAGCCATAACCTACAATGTGCTATTCAATTATGGCCATTTCTAAAGTTTCTAAATTTTAAAGAAAATACTTAAACAACAACAACCACCCCAACAAAAACCCACTATGCTGGCACTTCACATCTCCTGGCATATCCCAGAGACAGAATAAAAACAGATAATATGCAGAGGTTAACATGTTACCAAGATACCATTTAATGAAATTAAATAGATAATTTTCCAGTTTGTAACTTTTCAAAGGTAAAGTTTTGTCCAGAGGTTATAAAATGGCCCACTGTCTTTATCTTCTCGGTAATAAAACAGTCCAGGTTCAGCTGGGCGTGTGGTCACCTCAAATGTGAGGTCATTTCCCAACTTCCCCAGTGCTAAGCACAGCCTAGTTTTGACCCTGCCATCAGGAGCAGCACTGGGTAACAGCAAGATGGGAGAAGCCTAGGATGTGATGAGCTCTGAGGCAGAGCTACTAAGATACCCTGATCACCCCACACTCTGAAGAGGGAAAACAGCCTTCTGCGCTCATGAAGGCATTGTGGAAAGGGTGTCTGTTGCCTGGTTCAGAGTCCGGCCATCACACATAGGAAGAGAAGGCTGACTGCCTGGGGTGCTCTGTGGTGTTCCCCAGGGACGCGTGCTCCAAGCTCCCAATCCCAGTCTAGGGCACAATTCTTTGGAAAACTACCTATACCCATTTCTCTAAATTCTTTAGTTCCCAACTTTGGGAACATATTTTTTGTGACTATATTATCACAAATAAAATTAAAATCTAAAAACTAGAAGAAAGAATTTTCAATGGTTTTACCACAAAGACATGGTAACTATTTGGGGAAACAGATCTATTCACCCTGACTTAAAAGATTACACAATGTATACTTGTTTCAAAACATCAAAAAGCACTCAACACAATTTTTATTTTTTTATGTACACTTACATATGTATAAGACTGAACTTCACCTTAGATGCCTTTGTCTAAGTCAATATCTATGTTTTGAATACCTAAGTCTCCCTTACTAAAATGACATTCCAGGAAACAACCCCATATATAGTTTATTAATATCTCTGTCTACTGTCGAAAAGGACTAGAGTGTCACTCTGTACCACTTTTGTTCTAAAAACTGCTTCTAGCAGTGCCTCAAAAGTTCACTTTCTGCCTACAGATAAAACTAAGTGGTGATTCCCACAATGCCAATCCCATCAGTGAGCATCAATGGAACTAGCATGCTCACCTGTGAAATTCAGCAAGCAAGACACAACTTACCTCCATTTTCTTCTCCTGCCCCATCTTCTTTGCTTTTCTTCATCTTTTTTTGTCGAAGCTTAGAAAGTCTTGCTTCTAACATAGCTTTTCTTTTTTCCTTTATGTTTTCTCGTTTTGTTCTTTGATCTGTTGTCTTAACAGGATATAGAAAGTTACAAAATTATTTGAAGCCAAATGCACAGTATTTCTGCTTAAAAGAATGAAATGATTTTTTTCTAAAAGACTGATTTTCACAGTATCTCTAAAAAGCTCTCCTTGAGACCCTGAAAACAAACTTATTACACAAAACATCTGATGTTTTCCCTTAAAGAAACTTTATTTTCTTACTCAAACCATCCCCAAAGCACTGCAGATTTAAAACATGAAAGTCACATTAGGTCTGAAAAGTTTCTTTTGGGAAGGAGGAGGGTACTATTGGGAGTTTGAATTAGGTCAACAGTGTTCTACTGCTTGACCCATAGCCACCAGCATCTTTGCTTTAGTTTTTTTTGTTTTTGTTACTTTTAATTTTTTTAATTGTTTCTAGAAAGGTGATAGACAGACGGGCTACTGTTACATAAGTCAGGTATAAAGTACATTTCATGTGGACAGTGTTACTCCTTTCTTAATTCTCTCACCTCCCCTTTTTTTTGCACTGTTTACCTTGGCCAACCTCACATCATATACCTCCCATGTAGCTAGGAGGCCTACGCCACCACCACGCCAGCTTGTTTGTTGATAGGGGGTCTTGTTAATGTTTTTGCCTAGGCTGGCCTTGGACTGTAACCCTCCTGATCTCCATCTCCTGAGTAGCTTGACACAGTTCTAATTTTAAAGTTTAAAAGCACAAGAAACCTTTACACAACCTACTACAGCATTTTGAATTCCTACTTTTATTTGCTGCATTTTCTGCACAACAAGCCCAACAAAAACCAGTTACTGAAATCCTTAATTTGACTTTGAATTAATTTGTACCTGTTCCCGTAGCATCTCTAAAGTTTTCATCTGCTTGTTTCTCAACTCTTTGTCTTGGGCAAAGGCAAAATATCCAACACCGAGTTGTCGGGCCTCTGAAATAAGTCGAAATTATTCAAAAGATTAGATGACTCTATCAGTAAAGCACTCAAGATCTCCTAACCCAAAGGAAACACAGTGATATTTACACACTTTTAAAAAAATTAGAACTAGTTTTCATTGTGTCCCATGTGAGAAACATAACAAAGATGTATATATTTTAGCTATGGCTGTTCCTACTTTTCTCTGGAAATGTAATGGAACCCCTATGTAATGGAAGATATTCCAATTTCTAGTCTTTTTTTTTCTATAAACAGAGGGATTATCTGAATTTCCAAAGCAGCATCTTGACTTCTGTCAGAGCTGCTGGCAGGGGTGAGAGCAGTCCTTTCAGAGCACTGGAGGACAAGCATACCATTTTCTCGGATGTCTTCATAATGGACGGGCCCCACTGGCTTTTTCAGGGCTTCCCTTTCCTCTTCCTCCCATTGCTGGCGCTGAAGTTCTTTCCTCATGTCTTCAGATAACAAGGTTTTCTCATTTGCAGGACTAACAAAGCTAGTAGAAGAAAAGAGCAAAAAAACTTTCAAAAAGACTGTGAGACAGCAGTGCCTAAGCTCAATCCATTGGATCTGGACAGGGAACAGCACAGACACATTTTAGTGGTGATACTACAGCTGGAATCCAGGCTTGGAGCTTGCTAGGCAGGTGCTCTGTCTGTCACTAGTCACACTCAATATTTTTTTCTTTACTTATTTTTCTGGTGGGGGTTTCATATATTTGCCAGAATGAACAGCAATCCTATTACACAAATAGGATCCGTGCACAGCTGGGATGACAGACATGACTATTTTACACCTGGCTTATTTGCTGAGACAGTCTCACTGACTCTGCCCAAGCTGGCTGTGAACTGCAGTCCTTCACTTCCCAACAGGTGTGCCCCACCTCCACCTCTAAGAAACATTATTTGATAAAGACAACAGTTACCTAGCAAAGCTTTCTGATCAACAATACTGGTATTTTCCTTTTAAATCAAGAGCCAGATTTATTACACAGGCAAACTGGTGTCTTGCCTCAGCATTCAAGACAAAAGCGATGGGCTGTAGTAGTACATGTCAGGAGTCTCAGCACTTGGGAGTTAAGAGACAAGAGGATCATGAGTTCAAAGCAAGCCTGGGACATGGCACGACACTATCTAAAAAAAACCAAAACCAAAACCAAAAAAAACCTAACAAACCAAAAGAAAACCAAAAAGACATAACTTTCCTTCTCATCTTGGTTCTGGGGGGGAGGAAAAAAGAGGCAGCACCGGCAAGGAGAAAGAACTCCTAGGAACTGTTAGGAAGGGCCTAGCCCCATGCACAGACACCACTTCTTGTCCTGGCAGATGGCCATGGCCTCTGCTCTCCCTTTCCTGCTGAGTCCAGGCCTACCTGTAGGACTCCTGGCCTGGAAGGCTCTGACAAGATGGAGCATCTTCCAACAATTCTCACACAAAAGTTACTTGTGATGAAAAAAATGTAGGCATTTTACAGATATTCCCCAAATACTTCAGCAAGTCATCTCATTCTAGCCCTATCCACCAAACCCTCTCCATTCTCTCCCACACACACACAAATATATAAGAAACAGAAAAAAAAAAACTAGGCTGCATGCATGATTGCAGTGGTATAGCACCAGCTATATAAGCAAGCCAAGCAATTAAGAACCCTAATACTGGGCAAAATAGAAGAGATGATAATCCACGGAAACTGTTTCCTGGGCGTGGCTCATGTGCATACAGATACTCTATCCACTGAAGTGCTTCAGTAAATATTCTCAAACATCAGAAAAAAAATCTTCGTGGAACAATAATGATAACTGGCAGTGATTAAACAGTGTCTCCTGGCAAGAGGTGCACACCAAAACTTACAGTCTCCCCTGAAGGTTTTTGTCCATCTCCAGCAGGTCTGGCAGGTCCTTCCTCATGCAGCGCCGGGACCGCCCCAGAGAGTCCACGTAGTCCACCCTGAAAGGAAAGTGAGAGGCTAGGGACAAAGTCTGGTGCACAGGGAAGGTCTCTCTGTCAGGCAGCTAGTGCAGTGAAGAAATGCAGGCCTGTGAATGCAATTTTAAATTCAGCTGAAAGAATTCAATCTAGACAATTATTTGTGGTTTGATAAACATATAAATAACATTTTTAATAAAAAAGAAATAATATGACTTAATTACCAAGAACCTTGAACCTCAGAGATCACTACCATTAAGAACATGTTTTCTAAAAGACTCACTTTCTAATTCTGCCCTGCTTTCTTCTCATTGGTACAATTTTTTCCATTGTTACAGACTTCCTGATTGAAAGAGGTGGTATTTTTCAGGTATTTTTATTAGAAGGAAGCAATCACTATACCTATTTCTTCATCTTTGCCCTAATTACACAGCAGAGACAAGGCAGCCAGCAAACAGCACAGCACGTGAAATTCTGCGACTTTCTACCAATAGGAAAGATCAGTGGGTTCTCACAGAAAACATTTTATTTACAGTAAGATACAATGTAAGGTATCTCACATAGCCTTTTGCAGGATGCTGACAACACCACAGGAACCAATAGGTACTAGTGAACCAATTCAAGGTCCATCAGTCTCTTTCCTCTTAAGTAATGCTGATTTTCATTGTTAGCCCATTATCTAAAAACGTAGAAATCTGCTACTATAGTTTATAGCTGATTGCCACAGATATGAAACTTCCAACTGCTAAAAGCAGATTTAAAAAAAAAAAAGTGAATGGGAGGAAACCAGCAGGCCAGATGGTCTGTGTAATTTACAGTATTTTTACAGGAAGATTTTTCCACCACCTGGAATATAACTACTGTTACAAGGATTTTATGAACAGTTGTAATTCTAGCATTTAGTATTAAAATAATACTTGCAGTGTGCCTTATTTCATATATGGTAGCATGTGGCGCTTTGCATTGTCCCTAGACTCAAATCACTGGCAAATTGCTTGTAATCATATAGGCATTAATAAGCAAAAATAAAATGAGCTTTCAAAGGAAATGTGATTTCTTTTCAGAAAAGCAATCACAAAGTATTCTGTTCTTCAGTGGGCCTCCAAAACAGATCCTGTCAGCAGAGAAGGAAGACAGCAGTCAGCAATGGCTCTGTTTCGTTAGTAATTGCTTACTGAGCAGCCTGGCTGCCTGGGCAAGCTTGGAACTTCCAGGCAGACTGAGCTCCCCTCTGCCCCATCTCTTGGGGAAGGTGGGAAACATGTGAGAAGTCCTTACTATTTTTCTGAAGCCCATCCAAGATCAGATGAGCATTCAGATGATAAAGGCACTGATAAAAGAGGATACATGTTCTCCTCTTTGTTCCTACAGCAGAGCCAGACAGTGGCCAAATGTTCCTTAAGACATAAGGTAGAAGGTAGGTAGAAAGCCACCTGTTTTACCTTAATAGAGTGTTATTTCTGGACTACCACAGACCTTCAGTAGTATTTGAACATAAGTTCTTGGCTTCCTATAAACAACGGCCCACAGGATCACAGCCTGATAAAATGACAAAATATGCCACAGTCCTAAGCAAGTTCTAAGAAATACCCCATAATGAGGACACGGAGTTTGACAGCAGGTCAAGGACTGTTTCTTCAGAAGAAACAGTCAAGATCATTAAGTCTCTAAGCAATGTCCTGTGTGCTGAATGAGTGTCTAGGGAGAGAAAATAATTACAATGGAATCTTCCTTCTAATTTCTACTGACTTGACTGACTCATAAGCCAGCAAGGATGTGGCATCCTTCACATATACAGAAAACCCAGGAAGATTTCAAAAATGAAGCTTTACTGAGTATCTGCTTATACCCCAGAGAGTAATTTCTTGGGCAGCCTAGATTGTTTATCTCTTAATGCTAAATGATTGTGGAAACATGGAATGAGACACTCTAATCTCTATTTCACAGATAAGACTCTGGGTCTCAGAGAAGTCAGGAATTTGGTTGAGGTCACATAGAGAGCAGAAGGTAGCATCCACATCTCACTAGCAAAAAACATGCTGGACAGGGCTTGCCCACGACCAACAACAACAAAAAGCTAACGTAAGTCTGAAAGTGTCACTCTGCTCTCTCCCGCTATCACCCACCATTCCTCACTGGGGTCCTGCGGAGGAGGTATGTCTCTTTCAGGAAGGTTGTCGCCATCTTCGTCATCATCCCTTTCTATTCCTTTCAAGGACTCTCTATCGACACCAAATGCCTCCATTTCTCTGCGTCTGTCTATGATCTTCTGTGTGAAATCCACAAGGTACATATCTTCTACTTCCTCATCTAGGACACAAAAATCAATTTTCAGGTTACTGACATCAAGGAAGAAAACCATGCCTGGGACTGGCAGACAGTCATCACGCTCACTGCCTGGAAGCTCAGGTGCCCATGGTTCACAGTGTTTCCACCCTAGAGTGCTTTGCAAAGACTCAGGGCACTGGCACCTAAGAGCAAGCTGTCAATTGGCCACTGGAAACATGGATCACACACAAAAAGATCTTTTAAAAGCCCCAAATTTTTCTTCTTACTCAGTAAGTCATCTGAGCAAGCAATAGTGTCAGAACACCATTTTACAACCACCAAAACCCTCATTTTCAGTTACTTTCGTAGGAGCAGCAGAACAGCATTTCTTCTGCTGCAGATCAGGACAGTGGATCTGCAGGTGCAACAGCCTTTCTAAGCAATGGGCTGTACCTTTGCCCCTTATTAACCCGGTAATGGGCAGGTCATAACTCAGGTAAAAGTAGCCATCTGAACTTCTTTCAAGCTCATGGACAAGGCTGTAGAACACACAGCGATCTACAGGATACTGTCTGCCCTGGGGCTGAAGAGCATGTGAGGAGCTAAGACACATGCTCACCAGGACACAGCAACCCACAATGTTAGTTTAATTCACCCAGGACAGCTCACATAATTGTAGACAATATCATGTGAAGTTTTGCTATGGTTAAGATAAGTATTTTTCTCTGAGGACACAGATAAAGATATACTGAGCAGCTACTAAGAGTCTCTGTCACCAGCAAGCACTGTAATCCCGTTTAGAGGATAGTCTCCGAAGCTTATTGGCTCAAGCACACAGGTCAGTATTGCCATCAAGATGCAGGGCTGGAAGCCTTGTCCAGACTAGATCTGGACATCCACAGTCCTTTGGACCTGGTTTCTGTTTCAGTGACTCAAGCCAGAATCAACAAAAACGAGTGCAGTAATATCTCAGAGAAGAGATGTGCTCTTTGGAGCCCAGGTGCAGGAGCACACTGGTGAGGCCACCTGGTGACAATCACCAGCTGATTCTGCAGGAAAGTAGCAAAGCCTTCCCACACCTCCCAGCTCTTGAGTGTCTGTGTGCGAAGGGACACTGGTTGGCCCATGCCCAGCCTTCTTCTGCCCCAGCTAGGGAAGATGGCCCTGCTCAGCGCTGGCCCTGTCCATGCCCTGCTGATCTACTTGCATACCATCCTACCACAGAACCCATTCCCCAGTTCGCCAAAACCCTTAAGACAGTATCAAAGATGCTGTATGTCCAGAAAATATCCTAAGCACACCATCATTCTTCCTGCCTTCTGGCAATGAGAAGTGTCCTGCCTCTCAAAATCCCTTCTACTATTTTTTAACCCAAATTAGTGTTGAAAAAGAAGAGGTATGTTATTCCCTTTGTTTTAAAGCAATCATATGTGCCTCAGAGAAATAAAACAAAGAGGAAAAACGGGAGAAAAGAACCTGGACACAGTGATATAACTCTAATTCTCACCTACTTTTTTTTACTTAAACAAAGATGTAAACTTAACCTTAAACTTCAGCTATAACCTAAGGACGGCCCACTGAAGCCTTTTCAGACCCACGAAGGGCTCTGTGGCTGCCCCACCATGACACCTGCCTCACTATGGCCACTGGGCAATCAGTGGACCATCCCATCCTGTTTTGGAGCAGCACTGAAGGCAAAAATCTCTCCCTTTTCTTACAGCTCTTTAAACATTAATATCCATGCTACATATGAGTTACAGAAAATGAAGTAAATACAGAAAATAAATTATTGATGTTACCTATAAAGTCTCCTTTAGTCATTTTTTCATATAACTTGGCTTTTTCTTCTAATTTTTCCCTAGGAGAAAAAAAGACAAGTATTAGGAACAGTCTTACAACTGCCGTTTCTGGTGAGGCTGCCACATCCCCAGCCCAATCACAGCCATCTCCCCAGTGCCTGGTGCAACTAGCACCGACTGCCCTGTCCTGGCACTTGTTAGATATGGACACATCTATGTTAAAAACAGCATGAACAATACTGTGACACACTAATAAGCAACACTGGCAATGGAATAAGCAGCTTCTCTGCTTGTATTAATTCTGGTAATATTCTGAGTACTAGAGGCAAACACCTGCAGACCATGCACTGTGAGACTGAAATACCACATAAATTACTGGCCAGCTGGGCATAGTAATTCTTGCCTGTAATCTTAGCTACTGTGAAGGCAGAGATGAAAAGGATCAGTTTTGAGTTCAACCTGGGCAGAATGGTTAGGACTCCAGCAGGAATGTCAATACAATGACAAGCAACAAAAAGGCAAGAGACTTATGATAGATTAAAGGGCTTGTTTTAGTCAGACTTTGCATCATTGTGATGAAATACCTGACAAAAACTCCTTTTGAGATGAAGGACTTATTTAAAAATAGCTCAGTTCAGAGGTTTCAGTCCATCATGGTGGTGGGAAGACACAGTGAAGGAGGTTGTTTAACTCATGGCAGCCAGGAAGCACAGTGAACACAGGAAGGGGCTAGGCAGAGTGGGAAATCTTTTCTCTTCTAAGGGACATTCAGGTATTTGTAACATTATTGGAGGGTCACAGACAGGCCCTTGGCAGCGCACAAACACGAGTCTGTCCTGTCCTGTCCTGTCCCATACCAATGATTTTGAGGGCCCAGACCAAACAATCCCCACCCTTGCTGGATGCACCCAGTGACTTCTTCTTGCCACCAGGTCCCATTTTCCAAAGTCCCACTACCTCCAATATCTATTCAACAGCCTAGTCAAAATTCAAATCCATCCACTGTTATCATTCACTAGGTCTCAGCCCTCATGATCTAATCATCCGTGGAAACACCGCACAGATACCCCAGAGGTGGGCTTCCTAATTTTTTAGGCACTGCTCAGCCCAGTCACATGGACAACCAAGATTAATTATCAAGATAGGTGTCCATGGCTCCCACCTGTCATCTTAGTTACTCCAGAGGCTAAGATCTCAGGATCCCAGTTCAAAGCCACCTCAGGCAGGAAAGTCCATGAGATTCTTATCCAATTAACTACCAAAAAGCCAGGAGTAGAGATGTGGCTCAAGTGGCAGAGTGCCAACCTCAAGCAAAAAAGCTAAGGGATAGCACACAGATTCTGAGTTCAAGCTCTACTACTGGCACACACATGCACACAAAACCAACAAAAAACATTAACCATCCCAAGGACCAAAGAGAATTGATAACTAAATATGTAATCTCTAAATCTTGAATGTAAAAACAGCTATATAGGATGTAAATGTACTGCATATTCTGAAATATGGACCACAAAATGTTAAATTTGTCTTACCAGTGTTACACTTCTTGTGTATGATAGCAGTATTGTGACTATGTGAGCTAATGTCTTGGTACTTGCAAGACATGATGAAAATAACTCTGAGATAAAGTGTCATGACACTCCAGTGTCCCTGTATCTGTACATCTGTGCATGGGGTGGAGAAGAAAAGGGAAGGAGCAGAGAAAAAAAAAGGAAATGAGAAAGTATGTTATTTGCGAATTTAGGTGAAGAGTACTTTGTTCTCTTCTTTGGGAGAGGGCAAGTTTGGGGTCTATGATGCTAGACATTATATCAACTAGTCCAAAAACACATGGGACACTTCTTCAAAGAGTGCTGACAGGGCTGGGAAGGTGGCTCAGTGGTAGAGCGCTTGCCTTGCATGCATAAGGCCCTGGGTTCAATTCCTGAGCACCACGTAAGCAAAAAGAAAAAAGTCGGAAGTGGCGCTGTGGCTCAAGTGGTAGAGCGCTAGCCTTGCGCTGAAGAGCTGAGGGATAGCACCTAGGCCCAGAGTTCAGGCCCCACGACTGGACCCCCATCCCCCACCCCCGCTCCCAAAAAAAAGAGATCAAAGAGTGCTGACAAGGGCAGTGGTGGGGGTAAAGCTCAGTGGCAGAGTGCTTTGTTCAATATGCATTCTATTCCTAGAACTATAAAAGTAAGTAAATATTGCTTGTTAGTCAGTTGTGGGCTTGAACTTGAGCCCTGGTTATTGTCTCTGAGCTCTTTTTGCTCAAAACTAGTGCTATACCACTTTGAGCCACAGCTCCACTTCTGGTTTTCTGGTGTTTAATTGGAGATGAAAGTCTCAAGGACTTTCCTGCCCAGCCTGGTTTTGACCTGCAATCCTCAGATCTCAGGCTCCTGAGTAGGTAGGATTACAGATTTGAGTCACCAGCATCTGGCATAAATATTGTTATTAGCATGATGATCTAACAAAAGCTCAAAGCAGGACCCTTAAGCAAAGAATGTTTTGTTTTGTTAATCTAGCAAGCATAAAGCTTTGAGTTCAAATCCAAGTACCATCATAACTAAAAAATTAATTTAAAAAAACCATAACATGCATGGCCTCTTATTTTTAAGAGGCTGGCTGACCGTGCATAAACCCATATTTAATTAACTGGGAGTCAAAATATTCAGAAACATGTTACATTGTTGCTGATATGTGCTGCATTAAGAATGCAATAAGGCAGGTGCTGGTGGTTCCTGCTTGTAATCCTACTACTCAGGAGGCTGAGATCTGAGAATCGTGATTTGAGCAGTCTCCTTGAGGCTCTTATCTCCAATAAACCACTCAAAAAAAAGTGTAAGTGCTGGGTGCCAGTGGTTCACACCTGTAATCCTAGCTACTCAGGAGGCTGAGATCTGTGGATCACAGTTCAGGAAAGGTTGTGAGACTCTATCTCCAATAAACCACTCAGAAAACCAGAAGTGGTGCTGTGGCTCAAGTTGCAGAGTACTAGCCTTGAGCTGAAGGAGCTGAGAGACAGTGCCCAGGCCCAGAGTTCAAGCCCCATGAACGACAAAAAAAAAAAAAATAACAAAAAAAACCCCAGAAGTGGAGTTGTGGCTCAAGCGATAGAGTGCTAGCCTTAAGCACAAAGAAGCTCAGGGATGGCGCCCAGGCCTTGAGTTCAAGCCCCACAACAACCAAAAAAAAAAACAAAAAAAAGACTGCAATATTGCTTTTGCTTATACTAAAAATATACGGATTTGTTGTGGTTATTATTATTATTCCCTAAATGCTACAGTGTAACAACTACAGTGTTAAGTCCTCTAGGGAGGGCAGGGAAGTGTAAGGAAAGATTGCACATATGTAAACGCTCTAACACTTTATATAAGGGACTGAGCACCCTCAGGTTTAGATACCTGAAGGAAAAAGGAATGGGGTACTGGATCAGAGATGCCCCTCAGATATTGAGGATCAACTGCGTATTTATAAGTGTATTTGGCTTAAAAACTGATGTGCATCTCATCTGTACATCAAAGAGTGAAACCAACACTGCTTGGGCATCCTCAATGTAACAGTACCTTGCTTTGTCCAAAGTCTTCTGTTCCTCAATCTTCTGCTCAACATCCTTCTCAGCTCTATTTGAAATCCCTGTGTTCTGTTTGTTCCAAATACCTGGTTTCTGGAGAAAAATTCAAAAGGACAAAACAGAACCACATTACCGAGAGAAAAAAAAAAATCTCTTGTCTTAAATAGGAGATCTGCACATGCAAAGCTGGGGCTAAGAGCCCAAACTCCACTAACTGCATCCAATTGCTTCTCCACCTCATAACTTTGCTCTAGTTCAACATGTTAACAGAAATGTATATACTACAGAGAATTAGCCATACAGATAGTGGATGCTCTTGCCTAGAAAACTCAAAAGCTATTTACAACTCAAAGACCCTGATTTTTTTTTTTTGGTCGGTCGTGGGGCTTGAACTCTGGGCTTGGGCGCTGTCCCTCAGCTCTTCAGCTCAAGGCGAGCGCTCTACCACTTGAGCTACAGCGCCACTTCCGGTTTTCTGGTGGTTTACTGGAGATAGGAGTCTCAGAGTCTTTCTTGCCTGGGCTGGCTTTGAACCTCGATCCTCAGATCTCAGCCTCCTGAGTAGCTAGGATTACAGGCATGAGCCACCAGAGCTCGGCAAGACCCTGATTTTTTGGGGAAAGGAGTGGGGGTGGATACAGAAAACCTATATAACAGATTATCTTCCATGAGAATGTGAATAATCCTCGAAAGTATTATAATGTGCTTGAAAAACATTTTACTGATTTCTATTTTAAATGACTGTATGCAAATGTTCAAATAGGTTTTTTTTCTTTTATCACATTTATGGTATATACAATACTGATGCTTTCAAAAAATATTAGTACGGTGTAACTTTCATGTTTGCAATCAGCAGAGATAGATTTTTTTTTTTACCTTATTAGTTGTCTTGGGTTTTCCCAAAACTCCAGAATCCTTCAGAAGTTTTTCTTGTTTGAATTCTTCTTGTTTTCGGAAGAGTTCAGCCTTAAGATCTACCAACTAAAATAAAACCAATAAGTAAAAATATTTTAATTCTCGCAGGTGAATGGGGCTAAGTCACTGTAACTCTCGAAGCAGTACTTCGACTTCCTCTAAATGAACTCAGACTGAGTCACCTCAGTCCAGTCGTGTTGCCACACTCCAGGCTCTCCAGCAGCGAGGGGAGAGCGGCACTACGACTTTTACGTGTGTATTCTTCAGACTCGAGGTGTTTTCGAGTCAAGGTCTCACTGTGTAATCCAGGCTGACCTGGAACGCCTCGACCTCCAAGCAAAGGCTCGGCAGTTGCTTTTCTACGGATAGGGTGTGTGTGTGTACGAGCACCCCCGGTAAGTCACACGTACCCCGTAAACGACCCTTGTGGAGAGCGGCGGTAACTGGGCTCAGCGATGTGCGCGTGCGCAGTGCGGGCGCCAGGCCGGGTCAGGTCGCGCGCCCTCCCCGCGCGGCTCTCGCTCCGCTCCCAGCTTTCCGGCGGCTCGGCGGAGCGGCGTCACGGCCCTCCCCGCCCCGCCGGCTCGGGCCCGTGTGAGGGGAGGGAGGCCGAGGGCAGCCGGGCTCTCCCGGCCCGCACGGGGCCCGGCCCACACTCACCGACGACGCCGTCACGTCCAGAGGCTTTTTCCGACGGTCCATGGCCGCGCCGTCCGGCCGGGCGAGCGCCGACGCCGCCTCCCAGGAACGCCGAGGGTCCGCGAACGCCGCGCGGCGCGACCGGAAGTGAGCGGTGATGACGCCGACCGCGTGACCCCGGCGCCATCTTAAGCGCGGCCGCCGACCGCCATCTTGGGACGGTCCGCGGCTAAGGCCGACGTGCGGCCGGCGGGAAGGGCGCGGTCACGGCCGCCATCTTGGGGAGGGAAGGACGCGCCCGGCCGCGTCTCGGGGGTGGGGGGGAGGGAGGGCGAGGCTGCCTGCGGACCCGCCGTGCGCCGCACGCGCCGCTTTGCCCGCGCCGACCGAGGTTCACAGAAGTCACGTGAGACGAAGGCTGGGTGTCACCCTCTGTGGCAGCCGCCCGCACTCACGTGCTTAGTGACCCTCCGCGGCGCCCCGCCCCTCCGCTCTGCCCCTCCGCGGCGCCCCGCCCCTCCGCGGCGCCCCGCCCCTCCGCGGCGCCCCGCCCCTCCGCGGCGGCCCCGTCCCTCCGCCCCGCCCCTCTACCCCTCCGCCCCGCCCCTCTACCCCTCCGCCCCGCCCCTCTACCCCTCCGCCCCGCCCCGCCCCTCCGCCCCTCCCCTCCGCGGCGCCCCGCCCCGCCGCCCCTCCGCGGCGCCCCGCCCCTCTGCCCCTCCGCGGCGCCCCGCCCCTCTGCCCCTCCGCGGCGCCCCGCCCCTCCGCGGCGCCCCAGCCCATCCCGACGAGTTTCGCGGCTCCTCTCCCACACATCTGCATCTTGTGAGAACACGAACTCCGGAACCTGGCTTCGGGCGCAGCAATTGCAGTATCACCATTCGCTGGCTCTGTGAGCTTGGGCAAGGTCCTCTCTCTGTGCCTCAGTTTCCAAGTGGCAGTACACCTCTATCTGCCTCGTGAGACCTAGTTAAATGAGTGAGGATGCAGCCAGCCCAGGGCGTTCTTTTCAGAGCGCCAGCCCATCTCAGGTAGCGTCTCAGGCACGGACCTAGATCTGCTGGGGAAAATGGCAAGCGCCAGGTCTCCTTAACCTGGCAAAAGAGCCCAGGCTTTCCCACTGAGAGCCTGGGGCTCAGACCCACCTGCACCCCTTTAGTTACCTTGAGATGTCCCATCACCCTCCAGGCCTTGACGCTCCTCTTTTCCAGCTCGGTACACAGGATGTGTGAGCTCAAGAGATGGAAATGGGGTGCAGGCTGAGGTTCTACACGCACATCACCTGCAGGGTTCCGAGGCTGAGCTGGGCGCTGGCCTCCAGGCAGAAGGCACATTCCTAACAGCAGTCCGTGCTGTCGCACTGCATGCTTTGCAGTGTTTTGAGTGCCAGTTTGTTCTCACCCCAGTTGGGTCCCCAGGGTGTAGGACTGGGTGGCTAATGGATTCTCTTCCTCTTGTTATCTCTACAGGATGTTCTTTGTGTATTGAATCTCTTAGGTGCTTAAATAAATGGGAGGGAGAGATGACCTTCTGAAACAGACAGCAATTACTTTCCCACAAGCACAGCCACCAGCTCTACTCTTACCTGCAATGACCAGACCCTGCTTACCAATGGGAAAGCTCCCAGGGACACAGTTGCAGTCCAGACCTGCTGAGCTCAGCCAGTACTACTACTGGAATATCTCAATAGGCGGCAAAGTCAACAGGTTTAGTTTAGTCCAGGGCACCTTTTAACATGTGAAAACCATTTTCTACGTATCCTGCCTCTGCAAGTAAACAGTGTGCCTCCCCCACTCACCCAGCCCACAGCACCTTCACCTTTGTTCCTCTCCAATGCCACTGTCTCTGACAATAAATTACTCAGCAGGGATGAATGAGCAGAGTCCAATGTGTGAAAAAAGATTAGGTGGAACCTAAGAAAATTAGCTTCCAAGCAAGGGCACAGGATGAAGCAGAAGGCTATGGAAGCCTGGGTCCTGGCTGACAAAGTAACTAGCTTTGATTAGCATTAGGCAAGAATCTGTAATTGGCATTATCTTTTTCAATGTCTGCAGCAAGCAACCTCAGGGCTGGTGACCTTATTATTCTCACAGATGAAACCCAGAGTAGGCAAGCAAGGTCACACAGCTTAAATTGACACTAGGATTTAGACTAAAGTAGCCCAGAGGCAGACCACATGGTTTCATGTTATGTGAGTTTTGTCTTCATTCGTGTGTGCATTCAAGCTGCAGGAGAAAGGGGAAATTTAAACAAGTGGCCCTAGAATGTTCCAGTAGGAGGGACTAAGGCATTCAGGAGGCCTGACTGGACACCGGCATGCTGGAAGTCAGCTGAACTCACAAGTCTAGAGCAACAGGATGTTAATGAAGCCTGGGGGACAGAAGCTTGAGGCCCACAGTTGGAAACAGAAGTGCTGAGGGCTCTACCGCAACAACTGGTACCCAAATGCGGCCCTCGCCCACGTCAGAGCACAGAGCACAGAGCTCACTCACCACGTCACAACGCACCACACAAACTCACACAGCTGGAACGGGGTCCAGACCCATCCATCCAAATGCGGCCCTCGCCCACGTCAGAGCACAGAGCACAGAGCTCACTCACCACATCACAACGCACCACACAAACTCAGACAGCTGGAACGGGGTCCAGACCCATCCATCCAAATGCGGCCCTTGCCCACGTCAGAGCACAGAGCGCAGAGCTCACTCACCACGTCACAACGCACCACACAAACTCACACAGCTGGAACGGGGTCCAGACCCATCCATCCAAATGCGGCCCTCGCCCACGTCAGAGCACAGAGCACAGAGCTGGCTCACCACGTCACAACGCACCACACAAACTCACACAGCTGGAACGGGGTCCAGACCCATCCATCCAAATGCGGCCCTCGCCCACGTCAGAGCACAGAGCACAGAGCTCACTCACCACATCACAACGCACCACACAAACTCACACAGCTGGAACGGGGTCCAGACCCATCCATACCATAAGATGTTGGCCTCATAGGCAGGGATGTGAAGGATATTTCTCCAAATTCTTGGAGCCAAGCTGAGGCTCCCAAGAGGAGAGACAGAGGGCAGGTGAGAGACCAGCTATTCTAGAGTACAGGCTTGGAAGTGACTCAGCTGAGCTCAAGAAATCAGGATATGCAGAAAAACAACTGCTTCCTTCTCACCCTGTCTTCTACAGTCACCCTAAGAATGGAATCTCAAACTGAACACCAGTGGCTCACACCGGTAATCCTAGCTGAGAAGGCTGAGATCTGAAGATTGTGATTTAAGCCAGCCAGGCAGGAAAGTCCGTGAGACTGTTATCTCTACTAAACTACTGAAAACGGTAAAAGTAGAGCTCAAGTGGTAGGATACTAGCCTTGAGCTTCAAAAAAAGCTCAGGGACAATGCCTAGTCCTGGGCGTGCATGCACACACACACACACACACCCAGAATGTTATCACAAGAAAGTAACAGAACTAGGCCCCAGTGAATCATGCCTGTAATCTTCCTTACTTTGGAGGCTGAGATCTGAGGATCCAGGTTCAAAGCCAGCCCAGGCAGGAAAGTCAGTGAGACTCATCTCCAATGGCCCACCAAAAAGTCAAGTGGCAGAACACTAGCCCTGAGTGAAGAAGCTCAGGGATAGTGCCCAGACCTGAGTTCAAGACCCAATACTGGCACAGAAGAGAGGAAGGGAGGGGGGAGGAAGGGAGGAAAGCAGGGAAGGAGGAAGGGAGAGAAGAGGGAAAGAGCAACCTGTTGTCTCCAAGTTCTGTAGGCCAGAAGTCCACAAGCAGGGTGTTACAGAACCATTTGACCTCACCTCCTCACTCCAGGTGGCGGCTGGCAGTCCTTGGCTTCCAGGCCTGTCTTCACAAGGATTTCTCCCCAAGTCTGGCTTCTTAGAAAGCCATCCTGCTACATGAGACTGGCCTCTCTGGGATCAAGCAGACTTCATCTTAACCACATTGGTAATGGTCCTGTTCCAAAATAAGGTCACAATCTGCGATCTGAGGCTTAGGACTTGGACATAGTCTTTTTTTTTTTTTTTTCTTTTTCTCTTGTGAAGGGTTCAAAGACATAAGTGAACCCAGACCAGGCCTCCATGCCAGGCTTGGGAAGGACTCCTTGAGCTCTAGGAAAAGGAGAGACCTGATACTCCCCACCCCAGAAACCAGGGTTGGTTAAAAAGTGGCTGAGAAGAGAATTTGTTGTCATTCAGAAATTACAGCAATGAGTGGGCAGAGAATGGTGTAAGGCACATTTTCCTTACCCATGTATTGATGATGGACAGCTAGGTTGCTATTAACACTAGTGCAGCAAGAAACAAGAGGGAGGTTTACAGCCATAAATGTCTACAACAACAAAATGTAATAAACAGTTTAACATTCTCAAGGAACTAGACAAGAGAAAAGTGTGTGACACCTGTCATCTTAGCTACTCGGGAGGCTGACATCTGAGGATCGAGGTTCAAAGCCAGCCCGGGCAGGAAAGTCCATGAGACTCTTATCTCCAATAAACCACTCAGAAAACTGGAAGTGGTGCTGTGGCTCAAGTGGTAGAGCGCTCCCCTTGAACCGAGGAGCTGAGGGACAGCGCCCAGGCCCAGAGTTCAAGCCCCACAACTGGAAAAAAAAAATGTGTGTGGATGAGTGGGTGGAGGGATAAAGACCAAATTGGTAGACAGAAAACAAGGAAGGTCAGAGTGTAGCATAGATTTTGACTCATTTACTCTTCAGGACAGCCTAACCTGTCCCCGTTTTATAGGTGTAAACTGAGGCAAGGAGGGCGGTGGGGGAAAGGAGGGGAATGCTCACCCCACACTCTACTTCCCCCCCTGGGGAAGAGGGCTCCGGGTCATCTCTGCTCCTTGTTGCCTCCTCTGCCTCCTCCTGTCTATCCCCACTCCTTGTACCCAAGAGGCCAATCAAGCCCCTCTGCAGCCACAGTACGGAAGATGAGTCCTACTGGAGAGAAAGATGCCTGAGTCATGGTCCTTTATGCCAATAGCTCAGAGCTGGGCCTGAGCTGATACTGCAAATGCCTTAAGGCCCACTTTAATTTCCTGCCTGTCTAGATGGCACAGATAGAGAACCAGAGCTGGGCCCAGGGACTGTGCTC